ACGCAGCAGAGAAGAATGCCTGTGCCTGCAACCCATCTATTTATATTATTTCACACCTATTCCTGGACTATAGATGTGCACAAAAGTAAAAACGCATTTCTGCTGCCAGTTTTGCAAAACTCAACACACTTTTCGCTCAAGATCTAACTGGTGGATATAGCAGAAAATAATACTGTGATATTTATTTTATTTCTTTATTACATTTATACAGCACCTTTATGTTCCAAGCACCTGAAGGTGGTGTCCATGGTTCTCCCCCCCCCCCCCTTTCGTCCTCACAACCACACTGTAAGGTAGGTTAGGCTAAGAGATGGTGACTGGCTCAAGGTCACCCAGTGAATTTCAGGGCTGAGTTGTAATTCGAACCCTGGTCTCCCAGGTCATAGCCCAGCCCTCTAACCATTTTTGATCATTATTAATTAAATTTGTATACTGCCCATCATCCGAAGATCCCAGGGCAGTTCACAACAGAAAAATACAAAATGAGAATACAAGATGCACAAAAAAACAAACGAATGCAAACCAGTAACCAATCTTGTATTTATCTACAGTAACCTTCAAATACAATAGTGGTACCTACAGTGAACAGTACTTCAGGGACCTAGTTGTCTTCTGAATGTCTGGCTTCTGCCAAGTTGTATAAGAACTTTCTGATAACATTCTGTTGTATAATTATGGGTACTTCCTGATGTCGACTGGCCCAGAGATATTTTTAAAGGCAAGCATGTATGTACTATTTTCAATTGTTGGGTACAAATGACACAAATGAATGAGAAGAAATGCTGGAAATCTTGAGAAATCCCAGTGTACGTTCAGACTGAATTGTAGAACAAAGCATTGCTTGCATGTTTATTTACATTTTTAACATCTCTTATCAAGGAAGACCCTGGAGCATATCTGTAATGTCAACAACGCTATGGGCCAGATCACCACATTTTGAACTAGCTTCTAACCCTGGGCAGCGATCAAAAGAAGCTTCATTCAAAGAGCATTGTAGTAAAGTGGTTTGAAATGATTCCTGCCAAGTTGAAATCTAACCAAAAAGAGTATTTCGGTTGGCAATACTTGCTCCTGGTCACCATCAACTCAGTCTGGAGTTCCACATGTACCCTAATGCTGCAAACCAGGAGATTAACTAGAGAAGGCATAGGAAGTTTATGTATATGTGCCAAGGATGAAATGCAAGGTTAGTTTTAATGATAATCTCTGGCATTTGCAAACTTCACTTTTCACACTTTAGGGCACACCTCCACACATATGATGACAGTGGGCAGTGTTATGTTCTGCAAACATACGTATAAGAACATAAGAGCCTGCTGGTGGTACAGCCAATGACCCATCTAGTTCAGCATCCCATTCTCACAGAGACCAACCAGATGTCCATCGGAAGCCATAGGAAGATCACTCTCTCCTACTTGTGATTTCTGGAAACTGGTATTCAGAGGCTTATCGACTCAGACAGTGGAGATAGAAAATTGCCATCATGCCTGGTAGCCATTTATAGCTTTATCGTCTATGCCTGTGTCTAGAATTACTGCCTATAAGTACAAGCCTACAAAGTAGGCGGAACTCCCTGTCAATCCTGAAAAAGCAAGATACTTGATCACACAAGGCTCTGCAATCGCCTTCAAGCTTATATATGCACCAGTGCATGGTGCAGACATGCATTTTCATGGATAAAATGTGGGGAAGGTGATTCTGTCACTGCCCACATTTCACATGTTCATTGTATACATGAATAGAAAATTTATATCTCAGGAATTCTGTTCAACATAAATGAATCATTAAATGAATATGGAATGAAACAATTTGGTTTCTATACAGAGGAACTGATAATGATCTTGTTAATTATGCACAACAGATAATCCAAGTTAGTTATGTCAAAGAAATAAGCAAAATGCAGGGTACCCTCCTGACGATTTGAGTTCAGACTGTTATAAAATCTGTTGGCAGGTAACCCTTTATAAATGCCCTTCCTTGAGGCTAAACATTTTTTACAGCAATGAATGAATTCCTAAGAACGAGTCTGAACTAGTGGAAGTAATTACACAAAGGGCAAAAAAGTGATGTGCCGAAATTCCTAATTGCTATGGTAGTACAATGTATTGATCATGAATACCATTTACAAGTGTTTAGCATTCTCCGGTTACTGCTCCTGCCAACCTAGCAGTTCGAAAGCACGCCCATGCAAGTAGATAAATAGGTACTGCTCTGGCAGGAAGGTAAACGGTGTTTCTGTGCGCCGCTCGGGTTTCACCAGAAGTGGCTTAGTCATGCTGGCCACATGACCCGGAAAAACTGTCTGCGGACAAACGTCGGCTCCCTCGGCCAGTAAAGCAAGATGAGCACCACAACCCCAGAGTCGTTTGCGACTGGACTTAACTGTCAGGGGTCCTTTACCTTTACCTTTACCTTTACCTTTAGCATGTGTATAGTATACTTGCTTTACTTCTATATTTGCATCGATATTCACATTGGATGCCTTCTGTAGCACATTTTGGAGGCTTCAGTGTATGCATTGTAACCAGGCATAGTGATTTTTTGGAACTGAGTACCGGTAATTAAAGACAAATAGTGGATAAATAGTAGTTAGGAAAATGAATGAGAATCAAGATGAAGTGAAGCTGTAAATTCTGGAGACAGTATTGTTGAACCTTGAGATTATACCACTTTAAATGGTCAGAAAATTATCCCTTTCAAGTGCATTCTCAGAAGGAATTAATAATTTTTTCTTTGGTATTTCCCCCCTATGGGTGTAAACAGCTTTCAGGTATGTTTTTTGGTTGAACTTTTTTGTTTGGGCCACCTGTTATATCATCATAATTGGGCCCATGCATCAACCAATTTGTGTGGACCAAAATAGGGTAGTCAGTTTTCTAGAAGCTTGGTGAATACACTATGTGCTTTTGCCCCACATAGGTAAGATTGCACACCAATAGACGTCATTCGGACTGGCTGAATGGGACTGGTGAAGGCAGAATTGACCTGCTGGCTCCATGCATAAGGCCAGGACAAAACCTGAAACTAGCCCATTGTAGGATTAGGGGGCTTCCAGAGGGTCACTACTTTTGGGTGGGATTCAGACATCAGGAAATTCAAATTGCACAATTATAATTGATTGGGAGGACTTATGAACAAACCCTCTTCCCTAAAGAACAGACTTTTAAAAATTAGGAATAAAAGGAAAAGGTAAAGGGACCCCTGACCATTAGGTCCAGTCGTGACCGACTCTGGAGTTGTGGCGCTCATCTCGCTTTATTGGCTGAGGGAGCCAGCGTACAGCTTCTGGGTCATGTGGCCAGCATGACTAAGCCGCTTCTGGCGAACCACAGCAGCACACGGAAATGCCGTTTACCTTCCTGCCGGAGCGGTACCTATTTATCTACTTGTACTTTGATGTGCTTTCAAACTGCTAGGTGGGCAGGAGCAGGGACCGAGCAACGGGAGCTCACCCCGTCGCAGGGATTTGAACCGCTGACCTTCTGATCGGCAAGTCCTAGGCTCTGTGGTTAGCCCACAGCGCCACCCGCATCCCTAGCATCAGTCAAATGCAGTGAGAAGTGTGGGATAACACTTGCTTTGACACAACCTCTCCACAAACAAATCAGGATGAAAGCTCAATAACCAAACTGTGTCCTCGCTCAGGGCGCCATATTACCAAGCTCCACCCCTGGAGAGTGCTTTTGGGCTCAAATCTGGCTTGCAAGTTTCCTACAGGCATCTGGTTGGCCACTGTGAGAACAGGATACTGACCCAGCTGGGCCATGGGCCTGATCCAGCAGACTCTGTGTGTGCCCTGAAGTGCGTGGACCTGTCTATAGCACCCTGCAAAAAAACAACAACACCTTCTTCTTAGCATTTGCATTGCTGATGTGAGAAGTACAAACAGTACAAACATGGGCACAGCCAGTGCTTTTCTTGTGGAAAAAAGGTGCCATTACTCACCGTGAAGTTGTTTCAGTAAGTGCCACACTTTTAACCACGGCTTTTCTTCTAGGAAAAAAAAGGTGTCTCGGGCAGGTTGCCAGTTGCGTCACTGGAACATCATGCAAGTGACCTCAGAGCGCATTTCAATTTCAAAAATTATTTCTACTTTTTAGTTAAGCAAGATGGCTCAGTTGCTTAGAGTGTGGTGCTGATAATGCCAGACCCTCCAAATGTTGCTATTTTCCAGGGACAGTCCCGGATTTGCAGAAGCTCTCCTGGTTTCTGATTTCATGCCAGAATGCCCTGCTTTCCCTATCACTGGAGAAATGTTGGATGGTAAGGTAGGACGTCCCTATTTCCACTGGAGAAATGTTGAATGGTATGGAGTTATCTGACCCCCCAGCCGTCTAAAGGCAGCCCTGTATAGGGAAGTTTTTTTTTTAATGTTTAATGTTTTGTTATGCTTCTATATGTTGTAATCTGCCCAGAGTAGCTGGAGCAACCCAGTCAAGTGACTTGGTAATAATAATAATATGGAATAGGATATCCCTATTTGTATCAAAGAAATGTTGGAGGGTATTCAATGCCAAGATTGCAGGCTTGATCCCCACATGGGACGGCTGCAAATTCTTGCTTTGCAGGGGGTTGGACCACAATTCCATGGTCCCCAACGTGGGACACACGGCCTACGGGGGTGGGCAATTTGATTTTTAAGGGGGGGCAATTCGAGAATGAATTACAGGAGTTACAGGAGTTCACTTTTTGAATAATTAGAATTATGTGTCGGGCGGGGGAGGGGATCAGGATTTTAGAGATGCTTAGGTTAAGGTTACCAGATTTTTTTCAAAGAATCCGGGGACACTTTTTTTTCTTTTTTAAAGAAAAAAAAGTTATTTTTAAAAGAGTAACCATAGTTAGGTGGGGCATGGCAAAAAAAAAAAAAAAAAGGTTGGGAACCACTGGACTAGATGATCCTCACAATTCTATGATTCTAAGTATATTTATTTACTTGATGGGGTCAGTCCACGCCCACGAATAAAAATTTAAAAAGCCACGGCGCGTGCCACAGCGATGATGAGGGAAGTCTCCTTCCAGGAAACAAGCGGGCGACGGGCGACGATGCCCAGCCGCCTCTCTCTGGGGACTATTATTTTGTCTTTTTGCCTCAGCGTGTGTGAGAAAAAGAGCGCCCTGAGGGCGAGGGAGGTTTGGCCTCAGGCCCTTGATTGACAGGCAGCTCCGAAGCGAGCCCGGGAGGGAGGGAGGGTGGGCCGGAGAAGGAACTGACTGCGAGAGTTAAGAAAGTCCTGCCCAGCTGTTTGCGAACTTTTTAAGATTTCCTGTTTCCTCTGCAAGGCAGGGCTGAAGCGGGGAAGGCGGGCGGGCGGGGGTGAGTCACACACGCCCTCCTCCGAGCAAGCAGCCGAGAGCCGCGGCTGCTGCGGCTGCTGCTGCCTCTGCCGGGGCCTCGCTCGCTCCCTCGCTCGCTCGCCCGCTTTCCGCCTCGAGGGACCCGCCTTCGCCTCCGGAGGAGCCCCTCGCCTCGCCCCGCGCGCCCCTCGCCGCGCCCGCCGAGCCTGCGCCGCCGAGCAGCCGAGCGCCCCGAGGGAGCTTGACAATGAGCGGGGCGCCCAAGCACGTTTTGCTGTGGACTCTCTTGCACTGCGCGGCTTGCCCGCTGGCTCGGGGTACAGGTAAGCCTCGCCTTTGCTTCGCTGCCTGCTCTCTGGTCTTCCGACGCTGCCCCGCCAAGATCTAGCTTGTGAACAAGGCACCAGAAGCCTTTTATTATTATTATTATTATTATTATTATTATTATTATTATTATTATTATTAAATGGCCAGGTTCATAGCACCACAGAATTGCAAAGAAGGAGCACCACAGAATTGCAAAGGGACACGGGTGGCACTGTGGGTTAAACCACTGAGTCTTGGGCTTGCCGATCAGATGGTCGGCGGTTTGAATCCCCGCAACGGGATGAGCTCCCCTTACTCGGTCCCTGCTCCTGCCAACCCAGCAGTTCGAAAGCACGCCGGTGCAAGTAGATAAATAGGTACTGCTCCGGCAGGAAGGTAAATGGCGTTTCCGTGCGCTGCTCTGGTTCGCCAGAAGAGGCTTAGTCATGCTGGCCACATGTACGCCGGCTCCCTCGGCCAGTAAAGCGAGATGAGCGCCGCAACCCCAGAGTCGTCCGTGACTGGACCTAATGGTCAGGGGTCCCTTTACCTTTGCTACAGAATTCCAAAGGTTTTCCCCAGGGTCATCTAGTCCAACCCCCAGCAATGCAGGAATCTTTCCCTCGAACCCACGACCCTGAGGTTGAGAGTCTCATGTTCTACCGACTGAGCTATGTTGTGTTTCTGGGTTGGGGGTCTTGATCTCCCTCCCAAAAAAAGTTAAAACTTTTGGAATGGTTTTTCTTCTTTCCTCTTGAAAAGAGTGTTGTTTTGGAGGAAAGCATGCTCCCCCCCCCCAACTTCTGTTCTTGCTTGAGGTGTGGTGCAGAAGTTTTCATCCTGATATCTGGATATCTGGCAGGGAACAGCTGCCTTGTGTCTTGCAGATACAGCCGTAGCCGCCACACCTGGCCTAGGATGAGCTGCTTGCAGCTGTGAAATTGGTGGGTTGTTTGCTCCTGGCATGATGGCAGGGCTTTTGGCAATGCACACGAGGGTTTGGGGTACAAATCCCTAGAAATAGGGGAAGTGAGTCATGCGCTGGTGTTTTCTGAGTCACAATTCCCCAGAAAGTAAAGGATCCGAATTCCAGAACGCCAGTTCCCTTAATTTTGCAACTATAACCCCAGTGCGCCAAGAGACATAAGAACTCCCTCGTTACAAACTTAAGGGTAAAGCGGCCGTGTGGCCTGTCACTAGCATGCTTTTAAAAAATCCTGCACCTTCGTTTCTTCCTTCAGCTGTTCGGAGTGTAAGCATGTGGTCGTACACAGTTTGCAGTAGTATGGTGGCAACTTCATTTTAAAAACCGCTACGCTAAGCATCTGTAGAGGGAAGCAGTGTCTTTCCAAGTCACTTGATCAGTGTTTTGTGTCCAGGTTTTAAGTTGTCTCATGACTCCTTGTGTTCTTCATTTTGCTTTCTGCCTTGTTCAAGTGTGGAGCCCTTCAGTCATTTAACACGCTTCAGTGCAGACTGTTAAACAGCAACAGCAACAACCACACAGAGGACTGATGTGCAAAGTTCTCTTACTGCAAAATCCTTTTCACTGGTTATTATGGGTACCAGTGCTGTCAACTGACGATATAATCAGAGTAGCTAAGCTTCTCGAAAGTTAATACACAGCTTAACTTCTCTCATCACATTGCTGATGGGGCACAGCACACCTTTTTTTTTTTACTCGTCCTGGATGTTTTATTTTTACATAGTCTGTTTAGTAGGTAGAAACAAGGTTGTACTCAACGCTTTAGGCACATATTTTGGCCCTCAATTCCCATCAGCCTGAGCCAGCGCAGCCAGTGGTTAGGAATGATGGGAGTTGTAGTGCGGCAACATCTGGAGGGCCAAATGTTCCCCAGCTGTGATCTGTAATTTTTGCCAAGAGCAGCTGCCCAGAAATCTCATGCTCCTTTAAAATGTACTGCCACTTCTCTCTCGCTTTTGGTCTCTTATTCCCGGAACTACCTCTATCCTTACGGATCCTTCCTCAAAACCCACTTGAAGCCTAAGGATACATAACTATATTTGAGCATATTCATTCCCACTTGCCTTGCACTTGCCTTGCACTTGTTCTCCTCTAGAATGTAAAGCTCTGTGGGATGGGGACTTGCCATTTTCACTTATTGTTAATGATGGAAAGTGACATGAACATTGTTGGTACCGTACGAAGTACAGTGGTACCTCAGGTTAAGTACTTAATTCATTCCGGAGGTCTGTTCTTAACCTGAAACTGTTCTTAACCTGAAGCACCACTTTAGCTAATGGGGCCTCCTGCTGCTGTTGTGCCGCCGGAGCCCGATTTCTGTTCTTATCCTGAAGCAAAGTTCTTAACCTGAAGCACTATTTCTGGGTTAGCGGAGTATGTAACCTGAAGCCTATGTAACCTGAAGCGTATTTAACCCGAGGTACCACTGTATAATGTCCACTGGCAGATTTACTAGGGACTACTTCCCTGTATACTTTCTTTCTTTCTTTTTTTTAAAAAGCCATCCCATAGTAACATAACAAACAGGGTGATGCTTTTGTATTGTTTGCAAAATGATGGTTAGTGGGGGGAAAGGAGAGGTAAAAATACAGTGCTGGAAAGGAAACCTGTATATTAAGGTTAGCATCTTACCATTCAAATAGCTACCTATAGTGATATTAAGCATAAATATGCAGTATGCTTTTAAAAACAAACAAACTGTTGATTTAAAATGTTTTACTTACTTAGCATGCGTAAAATCAGTTATGTCACAGTACAGCATTTGTAGCGTTTTATGTAAAGATCCTGCAAACACTTGCATAGCTGAGTACCGTGCAGAGTGTTAGCAATATCTGTGCATTTGCTGAAAGGTTAGGTCCAGTTGCAGATTATGATAATAATGGAATGTTCCTGTACCGTAATATAAAACTTGTACGATAGAGAAGAACGTACGCTTGGAATAAGTACTCACGTTAGAAATTCTCCTTGTCTCCTTTCTAATGCAAGTCTTTGCATCTCTTGAAAGAATAGTGGTACCTCGGCTTATGAACTTAATCAGTTCCGGAAGTCCATTCCTAAACTGAAACTGTTCTTAAACTGAGGTGCACTTTCCCTAATGAGGCCTCCTGCTGCCGGTGCCCTTCCACCATTCAGCTTCTGTTCGTAGACTGAGGTAAAGTTTGCTAACCAGAACACTACTTCCGGTTTTGCGGAGTTCGTATACCAAATAGTTTGTAAACAGGGCTGTTCTTAAACCGAGGCACCACTGTAAGGGGATCTTCTAGGGCAGGCACCCCCAAACTCAGCCCTCCAGCTGTTTTGGAACTACAACTCCCATCATCCCTAGCTAACAGGACCGGTGGTCAGGGTTGATGGGAACTGTAGTCCCAAAACATCTGGAGGGCTGAGTTTGGGGATGCCTGCTCTAGAACAGCTTTCCTCCAACCTAATGCACTTGCTGGGTAGGGTTGATGGGAACAGTAATCCAAAACATCTGGAGAGTACCAGCCTGGGGAGGCTGCTGTAGAGCAGGAGCCGAGACAGCAGTAGCACTTTCTGCCTTTATACACGGCTGTTTGGGTCGTGACCAGTGTTATCTGAGAGCTAGCACAATCATTAAGAGTGGTGACCTTGTATAACAACTTGGCTTTATCTCTGGGTTTTACTTCTGCTGTGTTATATCTTAGGCTGAAATAGGATAAAAGTTTTTGTCCAAGACATCCAAGCCCTGTAAGCAGGATCCGTTGCCATGTTCACAGTCCCAAAGGGACTCTTGGCCAAATATGCATACTTTCCTTGTGATTTCTTCCTTTCACAATTAAATGGCATTGCCTTTATCATTATAGCTATGTTCACATGTCCCAGTAAACGACACTGTCATTTCGTCTGGACTGTCAAACTTTGTGGTTCATGTTAATTTATGACGAGTTTCAAACAGGCCAGCGCCTAACCATGGTTTCTGAAGCTGTGTCCCTTAAACAAACCGTAGCTCCATGTCAGCCACAGTTCCTGGTTTTGGAGGGTATGGGAAGCTGTGATTGGCTAAAAGGAGATGCAAAAGCTCCAAAACTCCCCTTGAACACAGGGCAGGAGGGGAGATAGAGCGTGCAAGCCCAAGGCTTCTTCCTGCTCAAATCTGTGTGCTGCTAATGATCCCTCTTCATACTACCGTGAATAGTTTGATTACCTTGGTGTATTCGGAATGACAATGCTTTTATTTTTATTACTTAATCTCTAATGGGCATTCTCAGGTATAAGACCACTGACCTAATTACTCAAAGCCAATTATTTCTTTTTTGAAAAGCACATTTTCCTGTACACACATAGTACATACAACACAAGGGATATCTGCCAAGTTTATCTCTTTATCAGTCAGTATGATAAAGACATGCAGCTGTGGAAAACACAGCTTTTTGCACGTGAAGGAAGTTCTCTGACAAGGACGCAGTTTACCAAATATAACTTGCATGATATAGTACTAACATCACAAAAAATAAATAAATAAATGGGGGAAACCGGACATTGATATTGCTCCCTTCTGAATATATATCCTGCTTTTTAAATTTTGTTTTGTACTGTTGAATTATGCCTGCTTTCAGTAACATACCCTCTGTCTCCCAGATTGCATTGCGGAGTAGTATGCCCTCCCTGAACCTACTTACTTCTGAGTAGCATGCATAGGATTGCATTTTGCTTTGGCTGACTTGGAGTGAGTGAGTGAAAAGGGATTCATTCTTGGGCAGGAGACTTGGCAGCGCTAGCTTTTTCCTGGCTTGTATCCCTGGGTAACCTCCGTTGAAGTAGATAAAAACAAACCACTCCCTGTTAGCGGAAGACTACTGGCAAAAATCTTAGTAACATGAAATACCCAAAGTACATCACTTTCTGTACATGTACACCAAATGCATATTTGGTGGTGGTGGAGGAATGGATGCTTGTTGGTGTGCAGAACAGAAGGTTCAGTCCTTAAGGAAAACACTCCATGTGTAGTTGGAAGGGGCAGAGAAAGACAGAGACTGCTGGCTTAGTGCCTCTAGTTAAAAGTTTGCTGAAACTTGGGGTGGGAGCACTTTTTTTTGAGGGGGGAGGTTAGTTCTATCTTTGGGGGTTAGAACATAGAGAGCTGCCTTATACGAAGTCAGAACAATTGTCTATCTAGCCTAGTACTGTCTACACTGATTGGCAACGGCTCCCCAGAATTTCAGACAGGATATTTCTGGCTCTCCCTGGACATGTCAGGAATCAAACCTGATTCCTGTTCTGCCACTGAACTACGGCCCTTCTCCGGGGATCTACCTGTAGCAGCTCTTTGGCTATGCTTCGTTCTCTGCTTGTATGTCTGTAAATATACAAATCTTTCAGAGATAACATAACATGCTGCCACACAAAGGAAACTCGGTTCCATAGTTCTGTACCTACCAAGCCTGATGGGGTTGCCAGAATGTTACCTTGGGCTATATCATCATCATCATCATCATCATCAAACCTTTTATTGGCATCACATCCAAACATCCAAAACAAATCAATAAAGAATTACCACTTCCCCAATAGCACAAAACATTTGCTAAAAGAATGGCAGAGCAGTCTATCATCACATCTCTAGGTCTCCTGGGAGATCAGACGTCTGCAGTGTATTTCGACGACAAAAAACCGAGTAGAGATATTTACCCACTAACTTGGTGAGCTCCTGATCATTCCCCAGTAATAGAAAATGTATGACCTCCAACTCTGGTTTCCATTTGGGGATACAGAATTGATCTAGAAATTGCTGACTGAGATCAGCATATAGTTTACAATTAAGAACCATATGTATAAGGGTTTCCACCAGGTGGTCTTCACATGGGCAAGTTCTTTCTCTTTCCACCCTGCCTGAGAACCTTCCCCAAAGGAGGTTTGATGGATTTGAATTAAAGCTGGCCAGCGAAAATGCCCTTCTTTCTTGAGGGTTAAGCAGAAATTCAAGGTAGTTGTGGTTAGTTTCATGTGACCTTGGGCTGTAGAGTTCCCTTCCCACCTTAATAAGGAAGACTCGGAACCAAACTACACATTACATTAATGCACAGCTGCATGAACCTTTAAATTTTTCACTGAATGTGGTTGCTTCTGGGCTCCCAACAGGCGTGTCAACTCTAGGGGGGGAAATGACCTCTCAAGGACCGCCTCCTGACTATGCGCCTCCTCCTGATGATGCATGTGTGACATCACAGGTGTGCGACAAGTGTCACGTGGACGGCGGGTTGCTGGCCACACCATCTTCGGCCCAAGGTGGCCTCTGGCTCCCAGTGAATATCAGCACTGTGGTGGGAGGGATAGTTCAGCCTTCCTACCCACCATGGTCTCAGTGAAAAACCCTGTCCACTCTGCTGTGTTTGGACTCAAGGAATAGCCAGTGGAGAACTTTCTCTTGCAGGGGCAGTTTTAATTAGGACAATGGCATGATAAGAAAAGATTAACTCCCACTGCCCCATCCTTCAGTGCATGATCCCGATTCTTACTTGACTCCAAGCGGCTGTTATTTACAGTGTTTTTTAAAAAGTGACTATGCATCTGTGAATTTAAGTATTTAATGTCTATTGTAGCTTGGCCTTCAGGAAGCGTGCTGAAGGCCTGCTCTGCTTAGTGCCGTGATCACATCTTGAAACTGTGCAGCAGTTGTTAAGAGTTCTGCTATGACTAGTTGGTAAAAGATGAAGGAACCTGATAGATTCTCCCTCCTCTGAAGGCTTATGGCAGACAGCATTTTACAAATAAATGAAACCTCTAAATTTGAAGAAAGAAAATAAAAAGGTGGGTGGGTGGGAAACAGGCATTAGACGTTTCTGTAGACTTTAGTATCTCTATTCCTGCTGTTTTTTCTTTATTTTTCAGGGGAAAGTTCTGCCTCTCATTTAGAAAGGGGATGTCCAAAAAAAGACATGTTGTCACTTTCTGAAAATCAGATGTCTGTGCCTCAAATTGCTGTAATTGTAAACTGAAACAGCTGAACATTTGGGGAAATCTTAGAAGAACAAAAAAATAACAATCTTCAGTTCCTCAAATTGTCTAGTCATGAAAATATGTGTTAGGTGGACAGAATAGCCAGAGCTTTCTGTTTTTTGGGTTGCTCTTTTAGTTGCAACTCTAGCGATTTCTTACCTTTTCACATGATGCAGCTCCTAATTAGCATGAGGTAGCTAATTAAACAGGGCTGGAGATGGAATCTTCTCGTTATAGTATTGCACAAGCCAGTGAAATAGTTCAGCTCTGATTACAGCCTCCGAGCTACTTGTGAGTGGAATTGTTACCAGAAGAAGCACATGTCTGTACTTTTAAATTATCAACAAATTGTAATTGGCAGGCAGAATGATCTGAAGGCATGTATTTACAACTAGGATTCCAAATATAGCACCTGTGTGCACCAAGATACCCTAAGAAACCCCCCTCCCTTGGCTAAGACCCTCTACCAGCTTTTAAATTTTAATTTTTAAAATGGATATTTTATTTGTGTCATCCCCCACCACTTTGGCTGGCAAGTTTGCATTTTTTATAGGGGGAGAATAGTTGGCATTTTTGTCTGTGTTTTATTTTGTGTGTAGGTATTTCACCTGTTTTGTTGAATTCTGAGCACCATCAATATTCCACCCCACCCCCCGTGAAATGGGTACTTTGTGTTGCCCACAACAGTTTCTTGTGACCCTTTTTTTTTTGCAGCATATGGTTTAGACAGACACTCGCCATTCTGTTTGTTGTGGTTCAGCAGGTATTCCATAAGCCAACAAACCTGTTAGTGTAAAGGGTTACATGAGGAAGAGGTTTTTTTTTCAAAGAGAAAGAGTGTGCACACAAAGTCTTCAGAAGGCAAGATTGCATATGTGAACTAATTAAGGCAATATGTGACACACACAAAAAATGCCAGCTGTTAACTCCCCAACTATTACATTTTATTCTCAAGATTATATTAGTTTGTTGAACATGTATTAAATATGCATTAAAGCGCATATCAAGATGAAGTTCTGTGCATTTTATTATTGCTGCACTTACAATAGTTTTAATATTTTGTGTGGTTTTTTTTTATAAAAAAACCCTTCTTATGAATTTGTAAGGCTGTTTTATCTATTCCTGTTAGCCACCCTAGGTTCCATGTTGTAGCCAGTGAGTGGGAAATGAATGTTTTGTATAGATAAATAAAATAAACGTGCTACATATATGAATTGCTAATATTTACCTGACTACATTTAATGAGCTACCTAGTGAGCTATGTATCAAGTCTATACCAATAAATACCAGCCAGGCCTATTAATCCATAGCAGCCATTTCTACTTCTAATGATAGAGAGAAGTGTGACAATTTTGGGGCGTCTTTGGTAGCCAGCCAAATATTGGATGGGCAAGATCCTGCATAATCCTGACCTCATGTTGCACCTCTAGAACTTGGTGAATTCCTTGCTCCTGTTCTGGTTCTAGGCCTTCCCAGATTTTCCCTCAACCCTGGAGTAGAGGACGGGAACAGGGGATTATTCCCGTAGTCTTGCTGTTTTTTCCAGGATACTTTGGAGCAAGTTGGCAATCCAATAACTTTGGAGTGTGAAAATAGCAAGCCTTAGCCCTTCGCTTGAGCTTTGAGCTGAAAAGGGGATCACTCCTAGAATCATAGAGTTGCAAATCACTGAGAACCATCTAGAAACTAACATGCAGCTGGGTTCAAACCCACAACCTTGGCGTTATCAGCACCACACTCTGAGTTATCAAGTTGCTATCCCTGTGGTTTTGAACATAAGAATAGCCTGCTGAATCAGGCCAATGGAACATCTACTCCAGCATCCTGTTTTCACAGTAGCCAACCAGATGCCTGTGGGAAGCTAGGGAGCAGAACATGAGCATATTCCCCTCCGGTAGTTTCCAGCATCTGGTATTTCAAAGCATTACTACCTCCATCTGTGGAAGTAAAGCCTAGCCGTCATGGCTAGTAGCCATTGATAGACCCCTCCTCCATGATTTTGTCTAATCCTTTTTTAAAGCCATCCAAGTTGGCGGTCATTGCCCCCTCTTGAGGAGGCAAGTTCCGTAGTTTTGACTATGCAATGCATGAAGAGGTATTTTATTTTATCTGTCCTGGATCTTTCAACGTTCAGCTTCATTGCTGTGCTTCTAAAGTCCTCCTGTGACCACCTCAGGACTAGCGCTGCTCCTGAGAGACGACCCATCCACTTTTTACAGCTCCAAGTTCAGGAGGGCAGCTGTGGCTTGTGCTGCCCATCTTCTACTTTTGAGATACAGTACCTCAAAATCACCTTGCCAACAAAGGTCCGTATAGTTAAAGCTGTGGTTTTCCCAGTAGTGATGTATGGAAGTGAGAGCTGGACCATAAAGAAGGCTGATCGCCGAAGAATTGATGCTTTTGAATTATGGTACTGAAGGAGACTCTTGAGAGTCCCATGAACTGCAAGAAGATCAAACCGATCCTTTCTGAAGGAAATCAGCCCTGAGTGCTCACTGGAAGGACAGATCCTGAAGCTGAGGCTTCAATACTTTGGCCACCTCATGAGAAGAGAAGACTTCCTGGGAAAGACCCTGATGTTGGGAAAGATGGAGGGCGCAAGGAGAAGGGGACAACAGAGGACGAGATGGTTGGACAGTGTTCTTGAAGCTACCAGCATGAGTTTGACCAAACTGCGGGAGGCAGTGGAAGACAGGAGTGTCTGGCGTGCTCTGGTCCATGGGGTCACGAAGAGTCGGACACTACTAAACAACAACAACAACACCTCAAAATGCATCTTACATGCTTTTAACCTGTGCAGTTTCTGCCATGCACAGGTGAAGGCCAGCCAGTTGAAATTCTGTAAATTAAGTGCGCCCATTTCTGGCATGGAAAGAGCTATTAAGCTCCCTGTCTTGTTACCAGGCAAGGGCAGATCAGTGTGCCTGCTCTGCAAGGAAAGGATGTTCACACGGGGGTATGTGGGGTGTGAGTCAGTGTTCGATATTGGCCCGGTCCCAGGCACATTTTGTGACTGTTGCGGGCCCAATTGCAACCACATGGAGATCTCTGAATGCCAGGTTGGCAACTGGGGAAAGCAAAATGTCCCTTAGTGAAGGATCCGAAATATTTTCCTTGAAGCTTTAATTAGTTTTATTCTGGATTGTTTTATTTGGTGTTTTAATGTGTTGCAAACTGCTTTGAGATTTGTTCTTTAAAATTTAAAGTTGTATAAAAATAATAATAATAATTAATATCATCCCATGGGATGGGGAAAACAGTGCCTAGACATTGCATTGCGGCGACCATAGCCCAGGTTTAAGGTGCCATTTGGTGATTAGATAATACAGTGGTACCTTGGTTCTCAAACGCCTTGGTACTCAAACAACTTGGAACCCAAACACTGCAAACCCGGCAGTAAGTATTCCGGTTTGCAAACTTTTTTCGGAAGCTGAACGTGCTCCGTTTTGAGTGTCACGCTTCTGTTTTGAGTGTTATGCTGAGGTCTGTCAGTTTTTGCGGCTTTTGTGTTTTGTTTTTGCAGCTGTGTGGAACCCAGTTCAGCTACTGATTGATTGATTGTGTGACTGCAGTACATTGTTTATTGCTTTCATTTTATGGATCAATGGTCTCTTTAGATAGTAAAATTCATGTCCAATTTCTGTTTTGGGTGTGGAATAGATTAATCCATTTTGCATTACTTTCTATGGGAAAGTGCGCTTTGGTTTTGGAACAGCCTTCCGGAACGGATTAAGTTTGAGAACCAAGGTACCACTGTATATCTGAGTTTCTGACACTGGTTTGAGTATACGCAGCTTGTGTATCAGTGCCATCCCCAGATCATAACCCCCACATAAGATGTGAATGTACTGTACTTGGAGCATAGCATGACTGTAGAGATGAGATCCTGTTCCCTCCAACTGCTCTAGTGTTGAAGGAAAGGATGGGGCTCATCCTGCTCATCCCAGAAAGTCATGCAACACTTCCTTTAGGGCATGTGGAGAGTGGAATTACGGGTCCCGTTATGCAAACATTGGGAATTAATCCAATTCCTTCTCAGTGTCCCTTGCAAACTCTCTTGGATTTCTTTGGTCACCCTTGGAGAAAAATCAGCAGTTCTCTTTCCTAGTGAGAATCTGGAGCTTTCCACCTTGAAACTTCCCCCCAACACTTCGTTTAATTAAATTTAAAATAGAAACAGAAAGGACTTGCAAAATTTAAGGAGAAAAGCTGAGCTTCCTGCATTCAGTAATGCCTTGGTTTATGCCAAAAGCAGGCATTCCACAGGAAGGCGGACATTTTTGAAATTTCTCAGATGCAAAACTTTATAGCCCACAAACATCTGAAATATCCGTTCAGAGGGCTTGTTAGCAGCCGAGCTTAACTGTTTGTTATTCTACTGAGCAGAGTTTAAAATCCGAGCTGCAATTTCAACTGAGGCTCGTTTGTAAAAGTTGGCACTGTGTGCATAGCCATTTTAGAGTTGTATTAGGACTTTTCTATTTAACTCCAGACTCCAGTGTAGGAACATAAGAAGAGTGTGCTGGATCAGGCCAGTGGCTCACCTAGGCCAGCATCCCATTTTTGCTGGACCAGAGCACAAGGGCGCACTCCCCTTCTGTGGTTTGTGATATGCAGAAACAGAATGTCTCTGATGGGGAAGGAGTTTGGTATAGAATAGTCATATGAGGCCTCAGGTTCTTGGGCACAGAAGCAGTGTTTGAAATTAGCCAGGCGCCAGGAGCATTTTGCACCTGGCTTTTGACCACTTGCGACCAAGTGAAGATGTTGGGTGCCAGGATATTGTTTGTCATAACCATCTGGGGTCATTGGATCTGGGCTGTTTCCACACACCAGTACCCCATCCTGTAGAATTCTATCAGTTATATTTTATCTGCACAATCAGAATGAATTTTGGGAATCAAATTGCATTTTTTTCTGTGCAGCCTGAGCAGGAGAAGTCACCATTAAGAAAAAGAGATCAGAATAGGCCAATATGCATGTGGACTGTCCCTGACTGGATCAAGTGACTTTGCTTCTTTAAGTTCTCAAAGCTCTTAACCTAGCTCAAGGTTGTCATCTGAACTAGCCAGGTGTTTAACTGAGAATCAATCACAGTCAAGTCCTCCATTTGAAAAATAGGACTTTAGAGCCATCTTACCCCCAAATGTCAACTAGGCGTTCCATTTTGGCGACTGTAGCCTTGGTTTAAGGAGCCATTTGCCAGCTAGGTTATATATCTGAGTTTCTAACACTGCACAGAAGTGCATGGGTTTAAGGTGTGTGTATGTGTGCGGGTGGCGCTGTGGGTTAAACCACAGAGCATAAGACTTGCTGATCAGAAGGTCGGTAGTTCGAATCCCCCCGACAGGGTGAGCTCCCGTTGCTTGGTCCCAGCTCCTGCCAACCTAGCAGTTTGAAAGCACGTCAAAGTGCAAGTAGATAAATAGGTACCACTCCTGCGGGAAGGTAAACAACGTTTCCGTGTGCTGCTCTGGTTTGCCAGAAGCGGCTTAGTCATGCTGGTCACATGACCCGGAAGCTGTACGCCGGCTCCCTTGGCCAATAAAGCGAGATGAGCGCCGCAACCCCAGAGTCGGCCATGACTGGACCTAATGGTCAGGGGTCCCTTTACCTTTACCTTATGTGCGCACCCACAAACACATTCATATAGGGAAGGTGTGTGGTCTAGTTGCAAGGAACTTTACAGTGACTGTAAATTGATCAATACGATCCGCGCCAGGTTCCAGTCTAGACCAGCCTTTGCCAACCCGGTGCACCCCAGATGTGCTGGACTACAACTCCCAACAGCCCCAGTCAGCATGACTGCTGGCTGGCGCTGATGGGAGTTGTAGTCCAAAACATCTGGTGGGCAAAGACTGGTCCACAGAATTCTGTTGTTCCAGTTCAACCCTCTCCTTCTAATACCTTTACCTTACAGCTGTAGTTATTGATATCGGCTTCCAGGAAGCGTTACCTGTTCTCTCCCTGGAGCACTCGCCTGCTATGCTGACACCAGCCAGGAGACAGACATCTGTGGTGTTCCAGTTTTATGCTACTGACAGATGCATGTCTGATAAAGCAAAACTGTTGCTCAACAAGCCACATTAAAAACGAAATAAAACTCACCCATGCAGCCCTATAAAGCATGGGGATTATATTGGTGAGAGCTGCAGGAGACAACTGCATTTCTTCTTAACATGTGGAAGGAATGAGAGGAAGATGGCATTAGCCCTATTGTGCTTTTAATTTAACTTGAAAGGCTTGGGGGAAGCTGACAGCGCTTTCTGAAAGTCCAGAATGTCTTCACTTAAAAAAAATAACTCTACAGATGAGCAATAGCTTTCTTAGGCTCAACCAGAATGCCATGAAAGTTTATCAGGCTTTCAGGTTCTCCAGAACGGCTCATTAGTCAAGATGCGGGGAAACTAGAGATGCTACTTTTATTTGTAATGCAGTAAAATAACTACTGCTTTAGTTACTGAACCAAAATGTGGCTTTGTGTTTCAAATTGAATTGAAGAAATGCCCACATTATGTGGTGGTTATAAAATTATTCAGAGAATTCTTTTGGGGGGGAAAGTCCATCCACAGCAGCCTACACCTCATAAGCAAACAGCAGAATTTTAAAAGAAAAACACGACAATTTAAATAGCACTGTTTTGTTTTATTATTGTTTAATAGATGTTCATCCTCTTTTAAGGATCTTAGTTCATAAGGAATCCCTTTGTGGTGCCAGGGGTGGGGAAATGGAAGCAAAATACATTTAATAGCACAAATAACATTGACTTGCTGGGTTTTCACAGGCAGTAGGTAGGAGAGACGTCTAAAACCAGGGACAGAAATGTAACTCAGAACTTCTGGAGCAAATGAAAATTCTGCATTCTAGACTGGAGGACTGCAGCTAATAAATGCCTCTTAATTGTATATCCTAATAATCTCCCCCTCCCAAGGCCAGGCTAGATTTGGAAGAGCATGGGGGATGCAGTTCTTCTGCAATGGATGAATGTTGTCGTTTAGTCGTTTAGTCATGTCCGACTCTTCGTGACCCCATGGACCAGAGCATGCCAGGCACTCCTGTCTTCCACAGCCTCCTGCAGTTTGGTCAAACTCATGCTGGTAGCTTCAAGAACACAGTCCAACCAACTCGTCCTCTGTCGTCCCCTTCTCCTTGTGCCCTCCATCTTTCCCAGCATCACGGTCTTTTCCAGGGAGTCTTCTCTTCTCATGAGGTGGCCGAAGTATTGGAGCCTCAGCTTCACGATCTGTCCTTCCAGTGAGCACTCAGGGCTGATTTCCTTAAGAATGGAGAGGTTTGATCTTTCAGTCCATGGGACTCTCAAGAGTCTCCTCCAGCACCATAATTCAAAAGCATCAATTCTTCGGCGACCAGCCTTCTTTATGGTCCAGCTCTCACTTCCATACATCACTACTGGGAAGACCATAGCTTTAACTATACGGTTCTTTGTTGGCAAGGTGACGTCTCTGCTTTTTTTTTGCTTTTTTAAGATGCTGTCTAGGTTTGTCAATGGATGAATAGTTGGCAGTAATATTTCAAAGTACAGTGGTACCTCGGGTTAAGTACTTAATTCGTTCTGGAGGTCCGTTCTTAACCTGAAACTGTTCTTAACCTGAAGCACCACTTTAGCTAATGGGGCCTCCTGCTGCTGTCGCGCCGCAGGAGCACGATTTCTGTTCTCATCCTGAAGCAAAGTTCTTAACCTGAAGCACTATTTTTGGGTTAGCGGAGTCTGTAAACCTGAAGCGTATGTAACCCGTGGTACCACTGTATATTATGAGTGTGCACAATGCTTTGTGTGGAAGTAGCCTAGATTTAATTACCAGCACTGGAAACATCTGCAGGCATGTAGTTACAGAAGAAATAAAATACCACCCTTCTTTGAGAAGAGCTGCAAAACGGAATAAACTAATGGCCCCTCCTTGGCGTGATTCTAAACAGCTGGCACCCAAGTTTTCTAAATACTGCTCAGGCTTTCAGCGGCAAGTGTTGTGGTTTAGGTAATGCCATGTGGATATTGTTAGAGCCAGCAAGGCCAATGGCAAGGAATGATAGGAGTTGTAGTCTAGCATCATGTGGAAAACAGCTGGTTAGTGATGGCTGCCCTACAGGATATTGAGAATCAAGTGATGTGATGGCCCAGGATGCAGTGTTAGAAACTCAGATATATCAGCTAGGCGCCAAATGGCTCCTTAAAGCAAGGTTACCGTCATGAAAAATGGAATGTCTAGTTGCCCTTTTGGGGTAAGTCTTACTTTTCAAATGATGGACTGACTGTGATTGATTCTCAGTTAAGCTTCTGGGTAGTTCAGATGACAACCTTGAGCTAGGTTAAGAGCTTTGAGAACTTAAATAAGAAAAGTTGCTTGATCCAGGGATAGTCCTATTCCGACCTCTTTTTCTTAATGGTGACTGCTCCTGCTCAGGCTGCATAGAAAAAAAATGCAATTTGGTTCCAGAAATTCATTCTGATTGTGCAGATAAAATATAACTGATAGAATTCTACAGGATGGGGTATTAGTGTGTGAAAGCAGTCCAGATCCAATGATCCCCAGGCATGCACATAGCTGTCAACTTTTCCCTTTTCTTACGAGGAATCCTATTTGGAATAAGGGAAATTCCGACCAAAGAAGAATGGCAGACGAAATTAATGGACTATGCAGAATTGGACAAAATGACAGGAAGGATTCGAAACCTGCAGGACCAGAGATTTACAGAAAATTGGAAGAAGTATACGAATTATTTGAAGAGCAACTGTAATCAACAAATTATGCTAGTAGGACTACAAGAAGTTTTGTAAGGAGAAATATACGAAGTGTTACAAAGTAGAAAAAGATAGAGAAATTGGTTATGAGTTTGAAATGTAATAGGGAAGATAAGAAATGCATACTGAGATATATATATATATATATATATATATATATATATATATATATGGAATTTCCCTTAAAAAAAGGGAAATGTTGACAGCTATGGGCATGCACCTCCAGATGGCAGAGATGTCAGGCATGCTCGCTTGGTCGCAAGTGGCCACCAGTCAGGTGCGAAATGCGCCTGGCTCCTGGCTAATTTCAAACACTGTCCAGATGTCAAGGCATTTGCTGTTTCCTCCTTGTAGAAACAAGCCATTAATACGAAACACGGGATTTATCTTCTGTGAAGTGAGTCTGGGCTACTGTCGATCTCCTGTCTCCGGATTGCTTTAAATACTAAATCTGGGGTTTTTTTGCCTTAGAAAAAGAAGCTGCTGTGCTAATAATCCACATAGCCACTGTACACAGTGAGCCGCTTCAAATGTATACATATGCTGACGCCCTGCTGTTTGTCAGCCAGCTATCATCACATGTAGAGTTAAGCTTTGTGCTTGTCTCCAGAGTAGGAGTTTTTGAACGTTTGTCAGAAGGTATCAAAAAGCTGATTCTGTGCACGGTGCTAGCTGGACGGGATTGGATAGCTCCAGGCAAGGAGCTAACATGTAGAATGGGATTTGAGATGATCATCCCCACATACCCATTGATTGTCTGAATTTTCTCTTTACTACAGCGCAGTTGAACCACAGTGCAATGAATTGGTTTCCACCAGGGAATAATGGTTTCCACCCGGGAATAATGCTCATCTATATTTCCCTGTATATATGTAGTTGATTGACAGGTGCCCATTATTACGGATGAAGTTGAGGCTTGCTCTCTGTGCTTTCCGTCTGTTTGACAACGAGGTATTGCATTGGTGTTGATTCAAGTTCTGGCACATTGCTCAGAGTTGCTCTGGCTTTTAAACAACAGGAAAAGGAAATTTCTGATGGGACCAATGAGGCATAAAATAGGTTTGCTGGTAACCAAACATATGGTAGATAAAATGCTGCTTTCACTGCCCCCCCCCATATTGGGCATACTGTATCATCATATTTAGAAGTCTCTCAGGGACACTAAAAGCTTCAAAATAAGTATTTTTGTGCAACATTCTGCTAAGAGTAATTTAAGTCATTTAAAAAGTTGGTTTATATAAGTTCTGCTCTTCTGTTTTTGCCTATATAGACTTTCATTTATTTTAGATGGCAACATCTATTATCCAAGGGCTTTAAAAATCTGTTCATTTTTGCCTCACATCAGGAAATGTATGACAAATATCGCATTCGTGGCTTTTGAAACCCCCAAAATATTCCGATCCATTCTTGTCCCAAAATATTGAGTTGTGATTTTTAATAATAAGATAACGGCACATATTTTTCCCTCCCTGTAAACCAACTTAAACTAATTAAAGTCTTAGCTCCAAATATTATTTTTTAACACTCGGAAACAATTCTCTTAAGTGGGATGAGGAGGCATATTTAACTAGCAGACCTATACAGAAGAACATTAAAATGTGCTGACTTCAGAGAGGCTTTATTTATGGTGTTTATGAATCACCCTTTGTTGAACAGAGCCCAGAGAGATGTATGTCAAAGGATAAACAATAAAATTACACCAATGAATAAAACTAAAATATTCATAAAGTCACACTAATGGGAAAAAAACTATCCACCCATTGCTTTTCGGGGGAAACATATCGGACTGAAAAGGTGTGGTTAAGCAAGTGTCTTTAGCTGAGGTTTAAATCCCAACAATGAAGGGAGCAAGCACAAATGGGAAGGTTATTCCACCAAGCAGGATTGAGCCATTTGGTATTGGAGGAGGCAGATACTTGTGTCCTGTGCTACTTAGGTAAAGGTAAAGGGACCCCTGACCATTAGGTCCAGTCATGGCCTCGACATTGGCCAAGGGAGCCGGCGTACAGCTTCCGGGTAATGTGGCCAGCATGACTAAGCCGCTAGCGGCAAACCAGAGCAGTGCACGGAAACGCTGTTTACCTTCCCGCCGGAGCGGTACCTATTTATCTACTTGCACTTTGTGCATCTACTTGCACTTTGACATGCTTTCGAACTGCTAGATTGGCAGGAGCAGGGAGCTCACCCCGTCACGGGGATTCGAACCGCCGACCTTCTGATCGGCAAGTCCTAGGCTCTGTGGTTTAACCCACAGCGCCACCCACATCCCCTGTGCCACTTAGGGCTTTATAAACTGTTACCGACACCTTGGGCCCAGTAGCTTACAGGTTGCCATTTCAGTGCAATAGAACAACATTTATTTATTTTATTTATTTATTTATTGAATTTGTATACTGCCCTATACCTGGAGGTCTCAGGGTGGTTCTCAGAAAAGATCACAATATATAAAATCAAAATAAGAACAATAACCGAGTAACACCCCCCCCCAAAAGAGCCGCATTTTAATTGGATGTCCATCAGGTCAACCAAAAGCCTGGTTTAAAAGGAACGTTTTTGCCTGGTGCCTAAAAGTATATAATGAAGGCATCAGGCAAACTTCCTGGGGAGAGCATTCCACAGACGGGGAGCCACTACAGAGAAGGCCCCGTTCTTGTGTTGCCACCCTCCGGACCTCTCAAGGAGGAGGCACACAAAGAAGGGCCTCACAAGATGATCTCAGGGTCTGGGTAGGTTCATATGTAAAGAGGCACCAAAAAACGAACGTGTTTGCATTAGGGGATGTTCTGAAGTAGAGGACCTTATGCATTATATCTTGCACTGTCCGTTATATAATGATGCAAGAAAAAGATTTTTGGTACCTATAATGACAGGGTCCCCTGGCCAGAACCCCCTTGATATGATGTTATATCTCCTTACAGACACAGATCAGTATGTGACCTGGCGGGTAGCACTTTTTGCAACTGCTGCTAGGAAAATTAGAGCAAATTATATAGCGAAGGTAGCCGTTAACTGTAAAGGAGATGAATTTATTTGAGCCTATCTATCTACCTCAGGCTATGCTCTATCTTTGTCACCAAACTCTGAGTATAAATTGCACACTGTATTAATTGATATTGTTTTTAACATTAGTGACCATGTGATGATTTTAGCTTATGAATTTTATTGTTTAATGTTTTTATTTGTACATTGGGGTACTTTTATAGCTTTGTTTAGAGTATGTACCGTATTTTTCGCTCCATAGGACGCACTTTTTCCCCTCCAAAAATGAAGGGGAAATGTGTGTGCGTCCTATGGAGCGAATGCAGGCTTTCGCTGAAGCCTGGAGAGCGAGAGGCGTCGGTGCGCACCGACACCTCTCGCTCTTCAGGCTCCAGGAAGCTATCTGCAAGCCTTGCGCACCCGGGGGGAGTTCCCCTGGGCACTCAAGGCTTGCGGGCAGCAGCCTGCAGCGCGGAGCACGGGGCGCCCTCCGGAGGATGCCCCGTGCCCGCGCAGGTGCCCGCAAGCCTTGCGCGCCCCGGGGGAGATCCCCCCTGGGCGCGCCCGGCTTGCGGGCGGCAGCCTGCAGCGCGGAGCACAGGGCGCCCTCGGAGGACGCCCCGTGCTTCGCGCAGGTGCCGGCAAGCCTTGCGCACCCGGGGAATCTCCCGGGAGCGCAAGGCTTGCGGGCGGCAGCCTGCAGCGCGGAGCACGGGGCGCCCTCGGAGGACGTCCCGTGCTCGCGCAGGTGTCCGCAAGCCTTGCGCACCCGGGGATCTCCCCGGGAGCGCAAGGCTTGCGGGCGGCAGCCTGCAGCGCGGAGCACGGGGCGCCCTCGGAGGACGCCCGTGCTTCGCGCAGGTGTCGGCAAGCCTTGCGCACCCGGGATCTCCCCGGGAGCGCAAGGCTTGCGGGCGGCAGCCTGCAGCACGGAGCACGGGGCGCCCTCGGAGGACGTCCCGTGCTCGCGCAGGTGTCCGCAAGCCTTGCGCACCCGGGGGATATCCCCCCGGGAGCGCCAGGCTTGCGGGCGGCAGTCTGCAGCGCGGAGCACGGGGCGCCCACGGAGGACGTCCCGTGCGTCGCGCAGGTGTCCGCAAGCCGTGCGCGACCCGGGATCTCCCCGGGAGCGCAAGGCTTGCGGGCGGCAGTCTGCAGCGCGGAGCACGGGGCGCCCTCCGGAGGACGCCCCGTGCTTCGCGCAGGTGTCGGCAAGCCTTGCGCGCCAGGGGGGATCTCCCCCCGGGAGCGCAAGGCTTGCGGGCGGCAGCCTGCAGCACGGGGCGCCCTCGGAGGACGTCCCGTGCTTCGCGCAGGTGTCTGCAGCCTGCCGCCCGGCGCGTGGGGCGCCCTGAAGCAGAGCGCCCCTCACGCCGGGCAGACATGGCCAGCCCCACAAGCTCGGGGACAACGGGAGGCGCAGCGCCGCCATCCCACTGTTCCCCGACCTGAGTTTGGGGGAAATAAAGGAAAATTTTTTTTCCTTTATTTCCCCCCCCAAAAAGTAGGTGCGTCCTATGGGACGGAGCGTCCTATGGAACGAAAAATACGGTAATGTTTTAATAATATAAATGTTTTAAGTCTTTTTTTACCAATTCAGTATATTTTCTTTTAATTGTCAAATAATTCTGTGAACATTGCAGCAGCCTTTGGCTATGTGCAATAAAACTGACTGAGACTGAGACTATGTAAAGAGGCGGTCCTTGAGGTTTGCGGTCCTGAGCTGTTTATTTGCAAGGTCTCCCACCTGCCCAATGGGCCTTTCCCTCCCTCCTCCCTTCCCAGCTCCCATCATTCCACTAGCCAACATATGCAGTAGTCAGGAAGGATGGCAGCTGTAGTCCAGCAAGATCTGGAGTGACAAATATACCCCTTAACTGATTTAAGAGGGTTAAGTAATTTGCCTGACTTTTTTTACACAAATAGTTGCAGTAGCTGTTTTTATACATACAACACAAATTTCTCATGAGACTGCAGGGAGAAAAAAGTCCAACCACTTTCTTTCCTTTTTTGTTGCTCAGAACTGTAAATCACATGTGCTATGAACTTGCATGAATGTTTTTAGAAAGAAAAACACCCTAACAGGAAATGAGGCTTAAACCCATATAGTTGACATGATGTTTGCAACAAAAGGAAGGAAATTCAGCGTTAAGGCTGACATCCCACCTTCAGCAGGGCTGGGTTGGTGTGAGTGAAACATTTCTTTTCAGTTTTCTTTTCCATTTAGTTTTGTGTTAAGTGTTACTTAAGGCTAATCTCTGTGTGTATTTGAGCGAAATACACACATGAAGTGTTTTGCAGGTATATTTCTACATATGTGGGTCTTGTTGTTCCTTGTGCGTTTTGCATAGGGGTCCTCACTGTGTTTTGTATTGTAACTGGCAATGTGCCTGGCACCAGCCTGGTTCCTTTAAAAACGGTGCGGTGTTCATTATTTATACATTTTGGCCAGACCTCTGATTGCATCACCTTTGGCACATGCATTGTTGTAACATATTTGGCTCTTTGGGATGTTATAGTGAGAGCCAAATCTTTTATGTTACGGTATGTTACTGATTTTAAAATGAAAGTCTTACAGCTCTAGAGACTTTTAGTGTATGAAGTGCTCTTCTGGTTTTCTTTATTTTCACGGTTACTCTCTCAAGTATCAAATCAACATAAGTCTGATTTCAAAGTGTTTACAATTAAACCTTTTTTTAATATATTAAAAACAACAACAGTACAATAGTCATATTCAGTAAGCCTCATTGCTACAGCAGGGCTTTTACCTTTGTCTTTCCTTAAATAAAAGATACCCAGTCATCAATGGAAGATGCTTCTGGCTCTTTAATCTTACCACAACACATCTTTGGAGCAAAGGCAGTTTTCCCTGCTTGTTTTACTTACATGTTTCCATTCCACCTTTTCTAAACTTGCAAGAACAAATCTGTCAAATCAATAAATGAACTCACCGCTATAGATATGATGAGCTTTCCTATGTGTGGTGATAAAAATAATTGCCACCTCCCACAGTCAAAATCTGCTCCATTATATCTCTGCTCATGCCCACTATAAGATGCCGATCCAAAAAGGAATCCATAACATTGTGTACCAAGGATCTGAAGACTCTGAAGCAGTTAGGTTTGCCAGGCAATGCCTTCAACAATAAAGGAATAATCACAGATAAGATCCCCCTTCCCACCACCACTGGGGAAAACTTACACTGCCTCTCATTTTCATTTACAACTCTTAGCAGGACTTCTCCAGTTGATCTCGTTGGATGGGGGGCAGTTTTAGTATGCTGCTGATATCTCAGATAAATCAACCTTGTCAATAAATTCATAAAAGTGATGAGTCTTTAAAAACAAATAGTCCTTGGGACTGCAAGAGGAGAGATAAGCGCTCCATCCCTCTTGCGTCGACCTACTGAATTTTAGTGCTGCAGTTTCCCTCCTCTGCAATCCGAGCCTTTTGGGTTTGCCGATCAGAAGGTCGGTGGTTCGAATCCCTGTGACAGGGTGAGCTCCAGCTGCTTGGACCCAGCTCCTGCCAACCTAGTGGTTCGAAAGCATGCCAGTGCAAGTGGATAAATAGGTACCACTGTGGCGGGAAGATAAATGGAGTTTCCATGCGCTATGGCTTCTTTCATGGTGTTCCATTGCACCAGAAGCGGTTTAGTCATGCTGGCCACATGGCCCGGAAAGCTGTCTGTGGACAAACGCCGGCTCCGTCAGCCTGAAAGTGAGATGAGTGCTGCAACCCCATAGTCACCTTTGACTGGACTTAACCGTCCAGGGGTCCTTTACTTTTACCTTTATCTCTGCAATCCGTTTGGTTCGTAAAGAGGGACGGAGCACTTGTCTCTCCTTGGCCAGCCTCCTCACTCACCTGCACGTAATTCCTTGTCACCTGTGGCTACCAGGCTTGTGCTTGAATATAGAGCTGAGATTACCTAACGAATATTGGACAGATTCTTCATTCATCATTATTTTTAATTTGTATACCATCTTACAATATTCAAGGCGGTCTACAGGTTGAAGAAACAAAAAAATGTACATCTTATAACAATGTAATGCAATACAAAAATGTGATAATAAAACGTAACTTTAAAATAAGCAACCTACATCAAAAAAATAACATTCAACAATCATTAGAATAGTAAATAATAATAATAATAATAATAATAATAATAATAATATCAGCATATAGATTCAGTTAACATTTCCTCTTAATGGAATTTAGGATGAGAAATGTGTGCTTGCAAACATCCCATTGCAAAAGAGAGCAATGTACTGTATTTTTCGCTCTATAAGACGCACCAGACCATAAGACGCACCTAGTTTTTGGAGGAGGAAAACAAGAAAAAAATATTCTGAATCTCAGAAGTCAGAACAGCAAGAGGGATCGTTGCGCAGTGAAAGCAGTGATCCCTCTTGCTGTTCTGGCTTCTGGGATAGCTGCGCAGCCTGCATTCGCTCCATAAGACGCACACACATTTCCCCTTACTTTTTAGGAGGGAAATAGTGAGTCTTATAGAGCAAAAAATACAGTAAACATTCAGAATATGCATGCAGTATCCAAGGAACTCATCTGTGTTGCTTGTTTGTGTTCAGAAGTTCACAGACAAAGGAGGCTGGTGGCCGGTTTCCAAAGAGATGATTCACTTTCCCTCTGGGAATTGTCATAAAATGGATGACTCTTTCTGTGGTTGCTTGAAGAGCGTCTCTCTCTCTCTTCCCCCCCCCTTCTGCAAAAGACTATGCACCCTCTCCAGTAAAAACAGACAAAATTCTTGCCCTCTTAGCTTGTCCTCAAATTCTCAAAGAATGCTAACTGTCAATTTGTACTATATTTAGCTAATTGCTACTTCATAGTACATCCTAATTACGTGTGCCCATTTTCTGCTGAATCCAGATAGCAGTCCTGCCACTAGAAGTTGTTGTTGAATCTGTAAAAGTGTGACAACTTCTGATACAAGTGACAAGCCGAAATTGCAAATCGAAAGGCTTTTCTGACAATCCTATTTTCCTCCATGGGGTTGTCATTGCAGTGATTTAAGGACACATGCAAAACCTTTGCATCAGAATTGAAAATCCACATGAATTATCCAGGAAAAGGAACAGTAAGCAAGTTCTGGCGTGCCTCTAGAATCTTGATTATGGAGTTTCTGGGAAAACATTTTTGCTGAAATAATTTCATACTCCCGCTGAAATAATTCCAAGAATTCTGCCCTGCATTCAAGATTTCAAAGCAAGAACTAGACATTACCTTGGCAGATGCTTTTGCTTCCAAACCTGTGTTTGTTGGGGTAATAATACGTTTGCAGAGGAGGCATTTGCAATGTTTCTAAGGTGAAGGGGGTGCCCACTGTGAGGCCAGTTCGCCTGCCAAAGGCCTTGAATCCTGTTGTTATGAGAAAAAGCTGCTCCTTTTCCCTTATGGGGTCCCCAAGAGCCCATGTAGAGTCCTTTTGTAGGTTCTCTATTGGTAAGAGAAAATAACAGAGACTAGCCAGAGAATATTGAGAAGCAAAGCAGCCAGTAAGCCTGATCTTTATTAAAGCTGTTGCAACAGGGTGCTCCTCCCCCCCCCCCGAGGAGGGGGCAAGGCACCCAGAACAAAGGTGTGCCCGCCCTTATATAGACTTTGAAATTGCCCACCCTCAGACTCCAGACCACCACCCAGAAACATCATATGTACATCACAGAATGGGTGTAGCCCAGGACCACTTCCCCCAATACATCATACATACATCATAGGGGGCAGTCTCAAACAGAATCCTGAGTGTGTTGTTTATCTCCTGTCTGCCATTTACCTGATTGAATTATCTGGGTTTTGGCCACTCTGTTGTTGTTATAACTACTTAATTCCTGAATCCAGGTCACAGGCTCACCCTATTCACACCTTAGTTAAGGTAAAGGGACCCCTGACCATTAGGTCCAGTCACGGACGACTCTCGGGTTGCGGCGCTCATCTCGCTTTATTGGTCGAGGGAGCCGGCGTACAGTTTCTGGGTCATGTGGCCAGCATGACTAAGCTGCTTCTGGCAAACCAGAGCAGTGCACGGAAATGCCGTTTAACTTCCCGCCGGAGCGGTACCTATTTATCTACTTGCACTGGTGTGCTTTCGAACTGCTAGGTTGGCAGGAGCTGGAACCGAACAACGGGAGTGGGGATTCGAACCACCGACCTTCTGATTGGCAAGCCCTAGGCTCTGTGGTTTAACCCACTGCGCCACCCGCATCCCATTCACACCTTAAATGTGCCCTTAAGGCAGGATTTGTGAGCACAGAGACAATGGGGAGATTTCCCATTTCCTTCGACCTTGCAGAGAAATATTTGTGGTCATTTTGGGAGAGAGAAAATTGTTTTAGGACTTTTCTGTGGGTTTCAGACATGTGGTTTACATATTTGTATGTGTTTGCTTGGTATATTTATGAATATATATATATATATATATATATATGGCCTCAAAATTCTTATAACACTGTTTTGGATCCTGGATGGGGAGAAATGGAGAAAGGTGTTGTCAGGAAAGAATCTTTGGGGAGAGGGAAGGGTCGATTACCTCCCTCCCATTCACAAATCCTCTGCATTAACATTACCAGATAAAAACAGACTTGGTAATCCTCAAATTGCCTCACGATCTGTGGCTTTAACCTCCAGGTGACCTTTTTGTACTTGGTCATTCTGAAGAATTTATTCATGCTGAAGTATATGAGGTCATAACGACTTAAGCATAAGAGAAAAACATTTTCCCCCAGTAGTTAGTGATTGATTTATTTTTTTTAAAAAATACTCCTTCATTATGCAATCATTTTGCTGGAAAGGGCTGTGAATTTTTAATATTGCACCATAATGGAAAACCTGCCACATCTCATACCCTCCAACATTTCGCTGATTTAAATAGGAACATCCTATTCAACAGCAAGAATAACAACAATATTTATACCCCACCCTTCTGACTGGGTCGCCCCAGCCCCTCTCAGCAGCTTACAACATACATAAAACATAATAAAACATTAAACATTAAGAAACTTCCCTAAGCATGGCTGCCTTCAGATATCGTCTAGGTTGTATAGTTACTTATCTCCTTGGCTCTGGGGTCAGATAGCTCCATGCCCCCTTACATTTCTCCAGTAAAAATAGGGACATCCTAAGGAAAAGTGGGACATTTTGGGATCAGATCAGAAACTAGGGACAGCTTCTGTAAATCTGGGACTGTCCCTGGAAAATAGGACAATTGGAGGGTCTGATTTGCTCTATGAGTCTCCATCAAATCTATGCACTTGCATGATGGCTGTTTAATCACTATAGCAGTGCTTGGAATTTTTTGAACTCCTACGGCATGGTGTGAACACAGACCCGGCTTCTGTATAAACCCGGAAGTGGTTTATACTCGCACTCACTGTCCTCAAAACAAATCCTTCAGAATGCAGCCATTGTTCTACCACATTTTGGAAGGCTGGTCTGTCTTCCATCTTCTTCCCATCCACGTGAAGTCGATGGGCATGTGGAAACACTGTTGGACAACCATCTTACTGAGAAGCTTTGTGGATTAATTCCACACACACACACACACACACACACACACACACACGGGAGTGGCAGGGTTAAGAAACTGTTGCCCTAGGAAGGCTGACTGTGCAAGGATGGAAATGACCTAACCTCTGTAGGACTGACATTTGACCTGTCCTTCACTGCCAGCTTCCCCACCATAGAAGCCAAATCCTAGGGCAGGGGTAGGCAACCTAAGGCTCATGCAATTGTTTTTGTCTGGATAAACCAAAACAAAAGAGCCTGGGCAATAGAAGATTGCAGAAGGTCCTCAAGTGCCATGTTCTCAGCCAATCATATTGTTCAGGAAGCCTCAGTTGTATATGGGTGTTAGCCTTTGATAACCTTCTGAGAAGAAATAATAATAATAATTTATTATTTATACCCCGCCCATCTGGCTGGGTTTCCCCAGCCACTCTAATAAGTGACCAATAACATTCAAAAGTGTGTTTGGAGAGGTGGAGGTGGGTTAGATAAGTGCTAATGATTGTAACCTGCCTTCCAAATGGGTAGAGTTGGTAAGCAAGCAGGCCTAAGATGATCAATGCTTGCTTCTACTTCCCGCTTGCAATACTTTAAGGAATTGCTTGTGATGAAGATCAGTTTCTTGATGTATCCCTTTGCTCCGAAAACAGTGTTAAATTGCTTGTTTCTCTGCTGATCAAATTTGGAACGGTTTCTCCCTCCCTCCCTTTATACCTGCAATGAAGGATTACATTTCACGAATCTGATAAAATTGACTTTATTGTCTATAACACTAAAGGTTATAGTTTTGTTTTTTTAGATATATGTTCCAAGGCCACCGCCTTGCCAGAGAAAACTCTGCAACTTAGTTTAGTTTTTGTTTAGTATTTTATTTTATTTTTTTAAAAAAGTTTTGCCTGAGGTATGTTGATTAAAGGTTATGCCATAATAAAATGGTTAGCCTTCTAGGTGCCACAAGACAGTATGTGATTTTGACTTTCAGAAGGGTGATTTAAGATGGATATTGTGAAGAGTTATTTCATTTCTAAGGATTGTATTCAAATGTATTATACTCAAAAGACCCATTGAAATTAATGGACCTAAACGTCAGTGGATCTGCTCTGTGTATGATTAATGTTGGATATTGCCCTAAAAGTCTGACCCAATGTTTGTAGATCTCTGGGTGGCATTAGTTGTGTTATCAAGCACAACTAAACGGCTCAGGACCGCAAACCTCAAGGACCGCCTCTTTCCATATGAACCTATGCGGACCCTGAAATCATCTTTTGGAGGCCCTCCTTCATGTGCCTCCCCCTTGAGAGGTCCGGAGGGTGGCAACATGAGAACGGGCCTTCTCTGCAGTGGCTCCCCGTCTGTGGAATGCTCTCCCCAGGGAAGTTCGCCTGACGCCTTCATTAGATACCTTTAGACGCCAGGCAAAAACTTTCCTTTTTAACCAGGCCAAGCAGACCTAATCAACATCCTATGCCCTTTAAAATGTGTCTCTTTTTTGGGGGTGTTATTATTGTTTTTATTTTTATTTTATATCTTGTGATTTTTTGTGTGAACTGCCCTGAGACCTCTGGGTATAGGTAAAGGGACCCCTGACCATTAGGTCCAGTCATGATGGGGTTGTGGCGCTCATCTCGCTTTATTGGCTGAGGGAGCCGGCGTACAGCTTCCGGGTCACGTGGCCAGCATGACTAAGCCGCTTCTGGCGAACCAGAGCAGCACACAGAAACGCCGTTTACCTTCCCGCCGGAGTGGTATCTATTTATCTACTTGCACTTTGACGTGCTTTCGAACTGCTAGGTTGGCAGGAGCAGGGACCGAGCAACGGGAGCTCACCCCGTCGCGGGGATTCGAACTGCCGACCATCTGATCAGCAAGTCATAGGCTCTGTTGTTTAACCCACAGCGCCACCCACGTTCCGGGTATAGGGCGGTATATAAAGTCAATAAATGAATGAAAATGAATAGTTTGCTCAGTTATCACCGTTTATCTTGAAAAAGCAACCCCAATTTACTTCAGGAAAGCTTTGCTTCCGTACCTGGTTTGTATGTAGGAACAAAGTAAATGTTTGGAACAAATGTAAATTTGTCACGTTAAATAAAGCATTCTTTTTTTGTCCGCAGCTGATGATCATTTATCCAAAATGCTTGATGGCAAATTCAAAATGGCAGCACTTTGCAAGTTTTGTGACGTGATACCAACCAGCTGCGGGAATGAGGGCCATTGCATGAGTGGCTGTAACATCACTTCTATATGTGCGGATAAGAATGAAGTTTGTGCTGCTGTCTGGTAAGTTCACTCTGGCTACCTACAAGCATGTGCATTTGGTCTATAGTTTTCTTAACCTGCAAAAGTATAAATTAAATGTTGTTCAGAACTTGCGAAGTCAGGGCTTTCTTCAATTCCATGTTTCCACCATTCAGATAGGGTTGGCTCTGTAATATATGTGTTTGTAATTTGATACTTGGTCAAAAGGTCTAGAGACTGATGGCAACTAATAATTATTTCAGTTCTCAGTAACGCATTAGATGCATATAGCCTTAACCCGTGATTCTTCATTCCAAAATAAGAATGTACAAGATTAGTAGTGATATACTTGCATTCTAGTACAGTGGTACCTCGGGTTACATACGTTTCAGGTTACATAGGCTTCAGGTTACATCCGCTTCAGGTTACGGACCTCCGGAATGAATTAAGTACTTAACCCGAAGTACTACTGTACTAACGAAAATGCCACGCTTGCCAAGTTTTTGATTTTCCTTGTCTCAAAAGAGATTGGGGTATCTTGTTGGCCACTGTGAAAACAGGATTCTGGGTTAGATGGGACCTTGTTCTCATCCAGCAGGCTCTTCTTATAGTCTTATGAATTATTCTTGCTTTGAGAGTATCAGAATTCCCAGGAATGTAGTGGTGACTCTTGATTTCTGGCACACACCTCAATGGAGTTGTGAAATCTGTCAAAACTGCAATCTGATGTTTCTTACCTGGATAGGTCATGGAATCAAATCACAAGATGTTCCCTAATACCGTGGTACCTTGGGTTAAGTACTTAATTCGTTCCAGAGGTCCGTTCTTAACCTGAAACTGTTCTTAACCTGAAGCACCACTTTAGCTAATGGGGCCTCCTGCTGCTGCCGCGCCGCCGGAGCACGATTTCTGTTCTTATCCTGAAGCAAAGTTCTTAACCTGAAGCACTATTTCTGGGTTAGCGGAGTCTGTAACCTGAAGCATATGTAACCTGAAGCGTATGTAACCCGAGGTACCACTGTAGTAAACTTTACCAGCTCCTGCATAGATAAAAGTGATGACATTACTTTGCTGACACTGTGTTTGTGTCTAGTAGGGACACGGGTGGGACTATGGTCTAAACCACTGAGCCTCTTGGGCTTGCCGATCAGCAGGTCAGAATCCCCATGACGGAGTGAGCTCCCGTTGCTCTGTCCCAGCTCCTGCCAACCTAGCGGTTCAAAAGCACATCAGTGCGAGTAGATAAATAGGTACTGCTGCGGTGGGAAGGTAAATGGCGTTTCCGTGTGCTCTGGTTTCCATCATGGTGTTCCGTGCGCCAGAAGTGGTTTAGTCATACTGGCCACATGACTCGAAAAGCTGTCTGTGGACAAACGCCGGCTCCCTCGGCCTGAAAGCGAGATGAGCGCCGTAACCCCATAGTCACCTTTGACTGGACTTCACCGTCCAGGGGTCCTTTACCTTTTTACCTTTTACCTTTGTGTCTAGTCAAAGCAGATGTCTGGTACATGTGCAAAATCTGTACAAACTAAGATACATACTGGCAACATCTATATTATACTAATATAAAAGATCGGCAGCATGATAATTTTCCAAAAGGATACAAGATTAAAAATGAGCACTGTACCAATCACAGTTTCAGCGATGGAGTGTCATTCTTCAAAGGTGCCAGATCCTTCTTTATATTTAAATTCCTTTCTAAAATATATAATTCTGTCCTTGATAACATGCTATAGAATGTCAGCATTGGAAATATTAGAACCAAGTTACACATCCAGCTGTGCAAAATTATATATAAAATACAAGCTGCCTGAAAACCCTCCTTCACAAGCCAAAGGAAAGAACAAACTGCAGTATACCAATTTATTTTGATTTATTGGGCATTTGTGGTGGGGTGTGTGTGTGCATACAAACACATGTAAGTTCAAATTTTGCTGGATCTGATTTTTACCCTGCCTTACAACTTGTAAGGAGAATGGACAGTTCCAGTGCATGGCTGCTGGTACACAAAAAGAGGGGCTTGGAGAAGTGTTACCTATCAATGCTGTGACTTGCAACAAGAGACCCATCACAGCGTTACAGCACCCAACCATTCTGGATTCTAGCCAGGGCCGGATTTAGGTTTGGTGAGGCCCTAAGCTCCTGAAGGTAATGGGGCCCTTTATATGTCCAGCTATGGGACGCGGGTGGCACTGTGGGTTAAACCACTGAGCCTAGGACTTGCTGATCAGAAGGTCGGCAGTTCAAATCCCCGCGACGGGGTGAGCTCCTGTTGCTCGGTCCCTGCTCCTGCCAACCTAGCAGTTCGAAAGCACATCAAAGTGCAAGTAGATAAATAGGTACCACTCCAGCGGGAAGGTAAACAGCATTTCCGGGGGCTGCTCTGGTTCGCAGAAGCGGCTTTGTCATGCTGGCCACATGACCCGGAAAGCTGTACGCTGGCTCCGCAACCCCAGAGTCGGCCATGACTGGACCTAATGGTCAGGGGTCCCTTTACCCTTTACCTTTATATGTCCAGCTGTCCTTTGTCAACAACAAATTTTTGCTGTTTTTTGTGTTGAATATATGCTATATGGTCATTTATGGACCTCATAGGTATCTAAAGCCATTTGCACATGTTGCCATGCAGTCAGTCCATGCAGAATGTAGGCACCCTATATATTGAAATGAGCAAACCAATGATGTTTTAGGGAGCAGGCGGGGCCCATTAGTTACATCATAGGAGCCTACACAACACAAAACACTGTTGCTGTATGTAGGTTTTATTTTATTTGTGTTTTACCTTATATTTTGGAAATGTACGTCCAGTTTTTTTCCTCCTTTAATTTTTCGGGGGGCCCCCAAGAGAGTGGGGCCCTAAGCTGTAGCTTGTTTAGCTTGTACGTAAATCCAGCACTGCATAGGAAGTAGGGAGGAAGCGGTGAGGCTTTGGAAATGGTATTGGTTCTTCCAGAGCCTGTTTATCCTATTCGGAAGAAAGGTTTGGTCCTAGGGTATGGCACTGTTGGAGGAGTGCCAGACTTCCTCCTACTGAAAGTTCAAACACACAGAAGAAGAGGCAGAGACATCACATGCTATAAATAAACTAGGTTAGTTTATTCTTCCTGAAGAATAGGAGAAGGATGAAACAATGATCATCCATATCTTGCAAACACCTATATCCGGGGATGTCAGAGAATTCCAACGGAAATGGGAGAGGAAATTGCCAATGCTCGCTCAATGGTCCCATCTCTGCAAGAGAAATCAGTTAAATGAATATGATCGGTATTTACTAATGCCGTTTTCTGTCTGCAAAAAATACATAATTGACAACACACAGACACACACACTCCAGTTTGTGTTGTGTTTCCTTTGCATCGGTATGACTGGTGTAGAATAACATACTGATAATTAAGGACCTGAATTCCACCACAGTGGACAGCAAGATGGGGGAGAATACTGGATTTGCTGGAAGCTGAACTGCACCAGAACGGAAACAGGGATGTCTTCTTACATCCCTGCATGAATCCTACGATATCACAAAATCCATTGTACTAGTGGTTGGTTTCATAGGTCATAAAATGTTGCCCCCTGTGTCTGGAGCAACTTTGCAACCATTTGTGCAGACCCAGGGACTGCCACCTCTGAAATTTCTGTATTCCTATCGGGCAGTTGGCTTTCACTGACTTAAAAATCAGCTGAAAGTTACCTTGAACTGTGGTCCTGTTGCTAGTTGGCCAGCTTCATATGTCAGGCTGATGTTGGGCACATCTGAGATGTACACCCTAGGGATTTTTGCATCTCTGGGTTATATCAGCCATGATCCACCATGTTGGACAAAACCACTAGACATGTGCTTGCAAAAGGCTCCCTAGAACACCTGTCTGAGATTGCAAGAGAAAGAGAGAGGGCAAACATCACGTAGACCTCAGTACATGGCATTTATCTTAGTGGGACACATGTTGTACAAGTTTGAATTATGCGATGAACAGGCGGAATGCAGGGCATTTTTGTTTTCGTTGTTTTTGTTCTTCCTTGTGTCTCACCTTTCATCCAAATTGGTTCCCAAGATGACTTACAGGCACAAAACTCCATGCTGACAAATCTTGGAAAGAATTAAGTTCACTCTGGTGAAGGATAGCACTGTCACTCTGGAAAGATGCATTTCGAACCATTTGCCCGCAAGCAGCGGCACCAAAACTAACCCAGCATAAGTTATGGAGAAGTTGTAGCTGCGATATTGTCAAAGTTTATATGAGACTCGACAACTGGCTAGCTTTACCTTGAATGCCAGCCCTCTACCTTCAGTTTCATGTTGCCATTGTTTTGATTATTTCTGCTGCTGCTGTTTAAAAAATCCTGTTCTTTTACAGGAGGAAGAATGATGAAAACATAACCTTGGAAACAATATGTCATAATCCCGCACAAAAGCTGCACGGGCACATTTTGAGTGACCACAATTCGGATAAGTGTATAATGAAAGAGATGAAGGGAGATGGTGGTTTGCTGTTCATGTGCTCCTGCAAAGAGGAAGAATGCAACAACGAGCTTATTTTTTCAGGTAAGCCTTTATGTGTGTGTGTAATGGTTTCGTTTTGAATATGCATTGCTCTTTAAATTTGCTTTCCTCCCCTTACCCCCTTCCCGTTACGCTGTTGGGTGTGGTGTTTGTGGGGTGTGTGTGTTCTTTTTAGGATATCCTCTCATAATAGAATTTCCTGTTGTGAAACATCCTAACCTTTGTCACAGTAGAAAAGGCCAGAGGTGTTTCAGCAGGAATCAGAATTGAGGAGCTATTTTGTCACTTTAAGGTCTGCAGTGTTAGTGTCACGCATGCATGCTGTGTGATGTGGGCACCACATGCCATGTGACGTGTTGCACTCCGCATGGCTTGTGTACATGACGTGAGCACATCACGTGCGCCAGCCTCCTCAGTCGTGCTTTGTAGCCGCGTGAGTCCCTGACGTCGCCTCCAGTGTGGGACTACCAGGAATGACTTGCATAGAACGGCCTCATAGGCCAGATTGGGAGCCCCGTTGGGCCAAATTTGGTCCGTAGGCTGCAGGTTCCCGACCTACAGAATATAAGGAGAGAGACGTCAACGCCAAGCCGAAATTGCTAATAATGTTATTGTTCTATTATATTTGTAAACCACTTTGAGGGTGTGTTTTCTTAAACAATCCAGCGGTATATAGATTTCGTGAAATGAATAAAGCCAAGGCAGTTTGCCTGCTCAGTAAGGGTGAATCGTAACGCTATAAACGGATTAGCAGAGAGTACGAAGCGGAGGACCAGGGAGGAAATGTGAGGTAAACGAAAACTTATTTCAAGTCAAGATCAATGCAGTTTTTGGGTCATCCACTTTTATTATTAGGTAGGTTGATAAATTCTTGCAGTACCTCTGAACAGCACAAAACCACAACAGACGATTGCCAGGCTTATGTGGTGTTTTATAACTTTACTCCTTCACATTTTGTAAACCCGTATCTACACAGCCAGTAAAGACACTTGATGAGAGTACCTGAGGGAGGCTTTGGCTTTGATCTTGTCTGCAAAAAAAATTTTAAACTTGCATTTTTTTATCTTGCCTGCCTTATTTAATGAAGTGCATTATCTCGGTGCTGGCAGGGCAGTCAGGCAGATAATGTGCTAGTAGCTGACTTTAATGATTTCATTCACATCTCTGTTTCCCCATCTCTGTAGAAGAAAACCACCTGGAAGGTACTTTATAGAAATGTATGAGAATTAAACAGGAATTTTGCAACACCTTTGCATGGCTTTGTTGGCCGCCTTCATGGTGGCACTGCAGTAGTGGTGGTGAGACACAGAGGACCTCTGATGAGAGCCATAGAATTGTCGAGTTGGAAGGGACCATGAGGATTATCTAGTCCAACCCCTCACAGTTCGGGAATTTTTGCCCACCGTGGGGCTCAAACCCATGACCCTGAGATTAAGAGCCTTGTGCTCTACCATCTGAGCTATGCAGCCTGAAATGCAGTATTAAACCTCAGAGCTAACTAACTGGGTGTAACTGTTGCCACTGCTGTATGTTGGTGCTTTTTAGTAGTTTTTATGATGTTGGGTTGTGGGACGCGGGTGGTGCTGTGGTCTAAACCACTGAGCCTAGGGCTTGCTGATCAGAAGGTTGGCGGTTCAAATCCCCGCGACGGGGTGAGCTCCCGTTGCTCGGTCCCTGCTCCTGCCCACCTAGCAGTTTGAAAGCATGCCAGTGCAAGTAGATAAATAGGTACCACTCTGGTGGGAAGGTAAACGGCGTTTCCGTGTTCGCCAGAAGTGGCTTAGTCATGCTGGCCACATGACCCTTGTGTACATGTCTGTGGACAAACACCGGTTCCCTCGGCCAATAAAGCAAGATGAGTGCCGCAACCCCAGAGTCGGCCTTGACTGGACCTAATGGTCAGGGGTCCCTTTAGCTTTACCTTATGATGTTGGGTTGTATTAAATGTAGCACTACACAGATTGTTCTGCTGTGCAAGGGTAATTCTATGCACTGACAGAGCAATCTCTCCCTCTGCTGCCCCTGTGCACTCCCTAAATCTGTTCTAGGTTCCCCCCAATCCTCCAGAATGGATTTGGAGATGGCACCACCCTTTGTGGTAGCACTAATCCAGGCATAGGCAAACTCGGCCCTCCAGATGTTTTGGGACTACAACTCCCATCATCCCTAGCTAACAGGACCAGTGGTCAGGGATGATGGGAATTGTAGTTTCAAAACACCTGGAGGGCCGAGTTTGCCTATGCCTGCACTAATACTTGTGATAACCCCAAAATGGAGTTGAATGCTGCCCATTGGCTTTAATGATGAAGTGAGTGGTGATTTGTAACTTGTGTTATTTTTGCACATTGCTTTAAGCATTTTGAGAGGGGTGGGGGAGAAGCAATTAAATTCTAAATGAATAAGCTCTCAACTGGACACACACACGCAGTACTTTGACAAGCCAAACAGCACCTCTTCACTGATGGTGCCTGTTAAGTTGTGGGTGAACATATCAGACGACACAGCAATTCTTCAAACACCTCTTGTTTATTCACAGGCCAGAACAGAACTGAACTGAAGGGTTCAGCCAGCCTGCTTATATAGAGCTCCAGTACAACGTAACTGTAACAACTTTCTGTAACTATCCAATCACTGAACGTCACTTTTGATCCCTTATTTGCATATGTGGACCTGAACTATCTGCAGTATCCCCCTGCTGGCCAGGGTGAGAACTTCAGTACATAACAGTGCCCCAAATGTAATGTACATTCTTCTTACTTCTTTAGCATGGGTGGGATCAGTGCCACTCCTATTTTCTCCCAGATGGATTGGGAATTGTACCACCCATGTATCCCTGCAGTAAACCTCAGTTGTTGTTTTTGCTTTCTCCGTGGGTTGAGCTTGTTGCTGAAATTTGTGGCACGCTCTCTACATCTGTTTATTGTGTATGCTGTGTGTAGAGCATGTCAGATGTTCACACTTCCCTTTCATATGTGCAGCAGAGACTGATAGCTTCTAATGTGTAACAAATTATGAAACACATAGTCCGGCTGTGCTTATTGCTGTGAGTCATCTCTGTTTCACTTGACTAATAGTAATTTTAATCATATGTCAGTGCTATGAGATCTGCATTCCAAAGCCAACCAACACACCCTTGTAGATTTTGGCTGGCTTCTTACAGATTAGTCAGATCGTACTTGTTTTCTGCTTAAACTACACAAACCCGGTACAGTCGGCTTGTTGGAGTTATTTCCTGTCTCGGTGCTTGCAAAATTTGCCCCAGAAATACGCCAAAAGTTGTGTTCTCATTTCTAGTAAGGCTGGTTGTGTTTTGCAAAACTCCCTTGGAGTAGTTCCTGTTGCTCTGAAAAGGATAACCTACATTGCTTCCTGGAAAGACTTTAGTTAATCAATCATCTAATGCACCTCTACCATTAAAAGACTGATACTCTATGAAAGTGTCTCAAACGCTCAATCCTGCAACATTTTTCTACACAAACCCACAAGGAGAGAACCAACAAATGTGTTTACAGCAGGGGTCAGCAACCTTTTTCAGCTGTGGGCTGGTCCACCGTCCCTCAGACCATGTGGTGGACCGGACTATATTTGGGGGGGGGGGGAATGAATGAATTCCTATGCCCCACAAATAACCCAGGGATGCATTTTAAATAAAAGGACACATTCTACTCATGTAAAAACCAGGGCTATTGACTGTTTGGCTCCGAAGTGCCCTTTCCGATTGCATGGAGCCCGGACAGCCCCGTGGTTTTCCATGGATCTGAGGGCAATGAAACAATCGTTGAGACGGCTAGAGCGCTGGTGGCGGATAACTCATTCTGAATCTGACCGGACACAGGTTAGAGCTCAACGTCGAGCCTACCAAGTGGTGATAGCGACGGCAAAGAAGAATTTCTTCACCGCCTCTATTGCATCTGCAGAAAACAGCAGCAGGAGACTTTTTCAGGTGGTTCACAATTTAGCGGAACCACCTGCAACATCGGGGCCCAGTACAGGCCACATGTTCTCCTGCAATGATTTTGCAAAGTTTTTTGCAGATAAAATCGCTCAGATTCGGGAAGAAGTAGACTCCACCGTGGGAGCAGGGCCGGGGCGGGAGAGTGCTAGAGACCTGTCTAGTCAAGTTGCGTGGGATCAATTCCAATCTGTTACCTCCGAGGATGTGGACAGGCTGCTTGGACGAGTGAAGCCAACCACCTGTCTCCTGGATCCTTGCCCATCCTGGCTTATAAAAGCTAGCCGGGAAGGACTGGGCGATGGGCTTCGTGGGGTGGTGAATGCTTCCCTCCGTGAGGAGCCTTCCCAGACCCTCTGAAAGAGGCGGTTATTAAACCGCTTCTTAAAAACCATCTTTAGATGCGGCCACGATGGCCAACTATCGCCCAATCTCAAATCTTCCATTCTTGGGCAAGGTGATTGAGCGAGTGGTTGCTGAACAACTCCAGGCACGCCTGGAAGAAGCGGACCATTTGGATCCCTTCCAGTCGGGATTCAGGCCTCATCATGGGACTGAAACTGCCTTGGTCGCACTGGTTGATGATCTCCGGCGGGCTAGGGACAAAGGTGAGAGCTGTTTCCTAGTTCTGCTGGATCTCTCAGCGGCGTTTGATACCATCGACCATAACATCCTTCTGGACCGTCTTGAGGGGCTGGGAGCTGGGGGCACTGTCATACAGTGGTTCTGCTCCTTCCTCCTGGGCCGTGTTCAGAAAGTGGTGGGGGGGGGATGAGTGTTCAGACCCCTGGGCTGTCACTTGTGGGGTGCCTCAGGGTTCTGTCCTCTCCCCCATGCTTTTCAACATTTACATGCAGCCGCTGGGAGAGATCATCAGGAGGTTTGGGCTGGGTGTTCATCAGTATGCGGATGATACCCAGCTCTACCTCTCTTTTAAATCAGAACCAGTGAAGGCGGTGAAGGTCCTGTGTGAGTGTCTGGAGGCGGTTGGAGGATGGATGGCGGCTAACAGATTGAGGTTGAATCCTGACAAGACAGAAGTACTGTTTTTGGGGGACAGGAGGCGGGCAGGACCAGGTGCGCAGCCTGGGAGTCATTTTGGACTCACAGCTGTCCATGGAGGCACAGGTCAAATCTGTGTCCAGGGCAGCTGTTTACCAGCTCCATCTGGTACGTAGGCTGAGACCCTATCTGCCTGCGGACTGTCTCGCCAGAGTGGTGCATGCTCTGGTTATCTCCCGCTTGGACTACTGCAATGCACTCTACGTGGGGCTACCTTTGAAGGTGACTCGGAAACTACAACTAATCCAGAATGTGGCAGCTAGACTGGTGACTGGGGGCGGCCGCCGAGACCATATAACACCGGTCTTGAAAGACCTACATTGGCTCCCAGTCTGTTTCCGAGCACAATTCAAAGTGTTGGTGCTGACCTTTAAAGCCCTAAACGGCCTCGGTCCAGTATACCTGAAGGAGCGTCTCCACCCCCATCGTTCTGCCCGGACGCTGAGGTCCAGTGCCGAGGGCCTTCTGGCGGTTCCCTCATTGCGAGAAACAAAGCTACAGGGAACCAGGCAGAGGGCCTTCTCGGTAGTGGCGCCCGCCCTGTGGAACGCCCTTCCAGCAGATGTCAAAGCGATAAACAACTACCTGACATTCAGAAGACATCTTAAGGCAGCCCTGTTCAGGGAAGTTTTTAACATGTGATATTTTAGTGTATTTTTGGTTTCTATGGAAGCCGCCCAGAGTGGCTGGGGAGGCCCAGCCAGATGGGCGGGGTATAAATAATAAATTATTATTATTATAAAAATACACTGATTCCCGGACCGTCCGTGGGCTGGATTGAGAAGGCGATTGGGCCGCATCCGGCCCATGGGCCTTAGGTTGCCTGCCCCTGGTTTAGAGTGCAGTCCCTAACTCAACAGATGTTAACTGAGCAGGAAAAGCAGTGGCTTTACATTTAATTGGGATGGAGGGGTTGGTTTGAGTGTGCTTAGGTTTGGTAGTCATCTAGAAATGGCCCAAGATGAATTAGAATTGACCAGCCTTTCCAACACCAGGGCAGTCTTCATCCTGGATATGTAATGTTCAGGGGGAAATAGCAGTATTCTGTAGTTTGGCTGGCAATTCCAGGAGATCTTCCTTACTAGGGCTGGGCGATATATTGTCCATTGCTGGTTTGAGGTCCATATTGTGATATCGGTTTCATAATTTTTGACCTGGCAATATATCACAAATCATGGTGTGTGTGTGCGCGTGCGCGTGCGTGCACACTATGCAGAAATCACAATGTGAGGAAAACCATGAAGCCAGCCAATGCCTCTACATGCCTCCATCCTTATTTCAGACATCATGATATATTGCAATGTTTAGTTGGGTGATATATCACGTTGTTGAAAACCAGATACCACCCAGCCATATTCCATATCACCTACTTCTGCATGAGAGCCAGTGTGGTGTAGTGATTAAGAGCGGTAGTCTCGTAATCTGGGGAACCAGGTTTGCGTCTCCGCTCCTCCACATGCAGCTGCTGGGTGACCTTGGGCCAGTCACACTTCTCTGAAGTCTCTCAGCCCCACTCACCTCACAGGGTGTTTGTTGTGGGGGAGGAAGGGAAAGGAGAATGTTAGCCACTTTGAGACTCCTTTGGGTAGTGATAAAGCAGGATACCAAATCCAAACTCCTCCTCCTCCTCCTCCTCCTCCTCCTCCTCCTCCTCCTCCTCCTCCTCTTCTTCTTCTTCTTCTTCTTCTTCTTCTTCTTCTTCTTCTTCTTCTTCTTCTTCATGCTCTGGTTCTCTTTCTCCCCTTTCTTTCTCCTCCCAGCAAAAAGGCAAACCTGTTTCTTATCACCCCCAAACTAATATACCTTGTTCTGCCCTCCAGCTCTAGCCTCGAGACGTTTTGAGCTTTGGTGCTGCCTTCAACGGCTGGTGTTTTGGATGTTATAGGGAACGTTCCTCTAGGAAGTATTCAAGAGAGCCTCTCCAGATTTAGCGCAGGGTGTTTGTGCCTCCAGACCAGAGCTTGGCTACTTAAGAGCGTGCTCAGATGAAATCCCAAACTTCCTTTTGCAGCACTTGCACTCCCTCCATAAGACAACCGGCACGTTGTCATCCCGCTTTTATTGTTGTGGATTAGTGTTCCTCTTAAATGGAAACAGCCCCTTTGGGTTGCTTGCCTGGTTAGCCATGGCAGGAAGACAAACGATTTTTACAGTATCAGACATGCGGTTTCCTGTCTGTGTTTAACTCTGAGCAGAACATTGTGGCCAGCTGGTCCTCTGCTCCTCCAGACAACTGGATAATAGCCTGTAATAATTTTGTCTTTTGGACTGCCATCCAGATGTACCCTTCATGTGGCTCTTGTCTTGTGCATGTGTGCTCTTGCTGCTATAGTGGGGCGTGCATTTCCCTGCACAGACTTTCTGCTGTATTTAATTCAGATAAGATTGGGCCATGCGTTTTGTCTATAGCCGAGGTAGGGGACCCATCCCAGATGTTGGATTGCAACATCCATCACCCCTCACCATGTTGGCTGGGTCTGATGAGAGCTGGATTTAAACAACTACTGGTTTGTCAATACCAGCAAAGTGAGTTGCCTTCATGTGAATGGTCTTTGAAAGCATTTTGTTTGGTTGGGGATTTTGCCCCCAGCTTCCCTCCTCCCCCAACTGTTTGTGTGTACAGTGGTACCTCAGGTTACATACACTTCAGGTTACAGACGCTTCAGGTTACAGACTCTGCTAACCCAGAAATAGTACCTCGGGTTAAGAACTTTGCTTCATGATGAGAACAGAAATCGTGCTCTGGCGGCGCGGCGGCAGCAGCAGGAGGCCCCATTAGCTAAAGTGGTGCTTCAGGTTAAGAACAGTTTCAGGTTAAGAACGGACCTCCAGAACGAATTAAGTACTTAACCCGAGGTACCACTGTATGTGTATATATAAGTGTACAGTGGTACCTTTGTTCTCGAACTTAATCCATTTAGGGAGTCCGTTCGACTCCCAAAACCATTCAGAAACCAAGGCAAGGCTTCCAGTTGGCTGTAGGAGTGTCCTGCAGCCAATCGGAAGCCGCGCTGGACGTTCGGCTTCTGAAAAGCGTTCGCAAACTGAAACACCTGCTTCTGGGTTTGTGGCATTTGGGAGCCGATTTGATTGACAAATAAGCCATTCAAGAACCAAGGTACCACTGTTTTGTTTTCCTTAAAAGCTTACTATCAGCTTGAAATGCCAAACAGTTAAAGATGTACTGAAACGCTTGCTTATGTCTAAATAAGGAGAAAGGTGTGTATGTTTGTTGCGAAGAGACAAAAAATCATGAGTGCAGAAACAGGTTCTGATTTCTCAAAGACACTAGGCACTCCTTTTTAATTAAATAACTCCTAACAACTGGTGAGTTACAAAGGAACTGCCATCCTTAATCTTGTGGAAGCTGAGATTTCTAACCCCAGTCTCTCTAAAGGCACATTTCTCCATGTTTAAATACGATTGTCAGTAATAGTAGTTATTGAGAGCCCCCAAGCAACCTGTCATTTGAAAATATTTGCAATGGGTAGAATTAAATCTAAAGACTGCATGCCTCGTATATTTTTATTTTTAAACTGACACTTTTTGGGTGGGCGGGAAAATGGGAACTCGGCATGTGCTGAAATGGATGTGATTCATTTTGATAAAGGCAACTTTTAACCACACTCTGTGAGTCAGTTTGATGCTCTTTTAAGCTTGCACAATCCCATGTTGTTAAATGTTATACAGAGATGTGGAGTGGTGGTGAGGGACTTTCATGGGGAAACAGATTTGAGACTGAGTGGTATCCTTTGGTTTAGGTTATGGGCTTCCTTTGCCAAACCAAATTGTGTCAGTCTGGCAGACGACCTGCACAAACTGGAACTTTGAGCGCGGTGGTATTACAGTGGAAAACTTTGTCTTCAAAAGCAAAGTATAATGCCAATGTGCTTTTAGTAGCTCTTTATATAACTCTTTTCAAAGAAACATCCCGATTTTGGAAGGAAAGGCTAAGAGAGAACATTTCTTTCCAAAATGGGGACTGGGGAGCAGCAAAAAGTAGAAATTAAGGTGTAAGATTCTACGTGGCATGCCGAAAGAAAGAATTCCCAGCTGGATAGCTCAGTTGGTTAGAGCATGGTGCTGATAATGTGAAGGTTGCAGGTTCAATCCCTGTACAGTGGTACCTCTAGTTGCGTTCACCTCCAGTTATGTATCCTTCAGGATACATATGCGAAAAACCTGGAAGTATTTTCCTGGGTTTTGCTGCACACACATGCGTAGAAGCGCTAAACCGCACCCTGTGTGTATGCACAGAAGTGCTAAACCACGCATGCGCAGAAGCAGCACCTCTGGTTGCGAATTCCTCAGGATGCGGCTGGACCTCTGGAACAGATCCCGTTTGCAACTGGAGGTACCACTGTATAGGACAATTGCATGTTCTTGCATTTCTTTGGATTAGAATCAGCTGTTCTCAACCTGTGGGTCCCCAGATGTTGTTGGACTACAACTCCCATCATCCCTGAACTCTGGCCTTGCTAGCTAGGGGTGATGGGAGTTGTAGTCCAACAACATCTGGGGACCCACAGGTTGAGAACCAATGGATTAGATGATCCTCAGGGTCCCTTCCAACTCTACAATTCTATGATTCTATGAATTTTAACTGAAATAGGTTGTTAGCTGGTGACATCCATCTGAAAGAGATGAAAGCTACACTTCTCATGCACGTAAACACAATTTATTGTCTTTATGTATAAAAAAAGAACCCTGCATTTATTTTGCCTAAACTGGTCGGCCATTTTCAGGGCCGCTAGTGTGCCATTTGCGGCAACGTTGCTTCTGCTGCCTTTCTGCACTGCTGGATTTCACTTCTCTCCCTTCCCCAGCTAATCCTGCTTGTCTCTGCCCCCCTCCCTCGGCCATTGCTCTTACTTCCTCTGCTGCCACTTACAATATTTCTGAGGCCATCCTCTTAACATTTTACTCTAAGCAAAGGGTCCTTCCTCAGAGCGAGGGATGCAAGTGGCCACAAAGAGCGCACTGCTCCCGCTGCAGCAAATACCTTTTTAAAGTTTAACAACATTGAACCTTAAGTTTTTTGTGTTTTGCTACAGTAGCAGTGCAGGACGCGGGTGGTGCTGTGGGTTAAACCACAGAGCCTAGGATTTGCCGATCAGAAGGTTGGCGGTTCGAATCCCCGCAACGGGGTGAGTTCCCGTTGCTCGGTCCCTGCTCCTGCCCACCTAGCAGTTCGAAAGCACATCAAAGTGCAAGTAGATAAATAGGTACCACTCCGTCGGGAAGGTAAACGGCATTTCCGTGCGCTGCTCTGGTTCGCCAGAAGCGGCTTAGTCAGGCTGGCCGCATGACCCGGAAGCTGTATGCCGGCTCACTTGGCCAATAAAGCGAGATGAGCGCCACAACCCCAGAGTCGGCCACAACTAGACCTAATGGTCAGGGGTCCCTTTACCTTCGCCTTGCAGTAGCAGTGCAGGCACCCTCAGTGGCCAACTCAGCCACAGTGGCTTGCTCTGAGGAGGGACCCCTTTCTTAGAGTGGGGTGGGGTGGGCCTAGGAAGTCCTGTTGAGCACCACGGGTTACTCCATGGCTAGTAGGTAACAGTAACAGTGGCGGCAATAGCAGCAGCAGCAGCAGCAGGTGAGAGGCCCCATGAGTAAGAGGGTGCAATCTGTTCTTCTGGTCCATCAGTAGAGGCACCCATATCACCATGCCTCATTCTAGCTCCAGCTAGACGTAAAAGATAAAGGTAAAGAACCCCTGGACGGTTATGTCCAGTCAAAGGCGACTATGGGGTCGTGGCGCTCATCTCGCTTTCAGGCCAAGGGAGCCGGCGTTTGTACACAGACAGCTTTCCGGGTCATGTGGCCAGCATGACTAAACCGCTTCTGGTACAACAGGACACCGTGACGAAAACCAGAGCGCACAGAAACACTGTTTACCTTCCTGCCACAGTGGTGCCTATTTATCTACTTGCACTGGCGTGCTTTTGGACTGGTAGGTTGGCAGGAGCTGGGACAGAGGAACGGGAGCTCACCCCGTCGCAGGGATTCGAACCGCCAACCTTGTGATCGGGAAGCCCAAGAGGCTCAGTGGTTTAGACCACAGTGCCACCCGCATCCCATCCAGCTAGAGGTTCTTTTTTACTCTCTTTGTCCTGTGTGTCCATCTACTATCTTGAATTAAAGAACAAGTATTGCATAATTTTCCAGGAGGAATTTATAATCTCATGTTATTATTGATGGCTTTCTTAAATAAAAAATGCCTCTGCTTCAAATATATATATTTGCATTCCTGCATAACCAAAGCCTATAAAAAAATCAAGTCTCTTTAAAACTTAACAAGTTCACAATGAATGGGGGGCTGCTCCTCTGGCTGCATTCACATGGCTTCTTGTTGTTTATCCATAGTTGGTGTGCACTGCTGAGTCACTAACTTCTGTTTCTCCCCTCTCCTGTTGCAAGCAGTGGTTTACCGTTACATTACAAATGTGGGCAGCATGTCAAAAAGCGTGTTGGGGAATAGTTCCCTAGCCTCCTTAGCTTATTTCTTCATTTTCTGTATATTTCTGGCAGGGTGAGGTGCTGAGCATTCAGACATGTGATTTTCCATCATCTCTCTGAATTGCTTCCCTCTTGAGAAGGGCCTACCTTCTCTTGTGACTTCTCTGAACACGTACCTTAGTTTGAAGTCTTAACCTGTCAGGAGCGTTGCTTAGAAACTGACTTTACAGGCACCTCAGCTGAGCCGGAAAAATTACTTTTTTAAAACAGTGCGTTGGATTGTCATGCAAATTGCCTACACGCTAAACATAATTTGCCCAAATGTTCGTCATTTGTAGTTGTCGGGCAATTTGGCTAAACAAATCATTGCCGGTGTATCGATTTACTGTAATTCTGCAGAACACAGTTTGTTCTCGGAGCGGCGTGATCTCCCCTTTCTCACCCATTTATGGGATTATGTAAGCTTCAGAAACAACTAAGGTGAACTACTAAGGCTTTAGATGCTCGAAAGGAGTACGGGAAGGTAAAAAGCAGGGGAAACATTTCACAAGCAAGGGGAATAGGAAAGGAATTTAAATAATTTCCTGTGTACGAACTTAGCACTGTAGCTTGCTTATGAGGCTACCCTTAGATTTCAGTTTAACCTTGCCGTGTAAGTGTTAATGAGCGGAGAGGATTGGAATATCCAGAGCACATCAATGCATTCATGTGCCTATTCATGCACAAGAATTCTAGACTGAATAATGTCCCAAATAACAGAGAGGTATATGATGTTTGAGAAAGGTGGTGTCCTGGCAAAACAGACAGTGACAAATGAGGGGGGCACAATAAATTGGTGGTGTGAATACCATATTTTTTCCATGTGTATACCCCTGTGTATAAGATAACCCCTATTTTTTGGGGACTCCAAATTAAGGAAATGGGGGTGGGGGTGGGGATTGCCCAGAGTTGTTGAGCTTTTTTTGGTTTTTTGGGGGGGATTACTGACAACAACAACAATCTTTATTACGGTCCAGAGAGCCAGCAAATCGTTACAAAGCCGTACACAATTCATACAGCCTACCTTCAGGTTAAACAAGCATTTTGTTCAGAATATAGGGATCACTGGTTCTTGCAACCACCGATAAAAACTTTGCCACTGCTAATGTTCTAGCATTTGTCTGGTCTTCCAATAGGAACCTGACATAGTGAGCCTCTGATTTTCCCAGGAAAGGTACCAGCAAGTATCAGTTCAGCCCTGGCTTGCTCATATTTTGCACAGTGCAACAAAATATGTTTTATGGAATCAATGTCTTGAGCACACGAGCAAAGTCTGTCCTGGTAGGGAACTCCTCTCAACCTGCCATCCAACACTGCAGAAGGCGTTTAATCTGGCTTTGGTGAAAAGCCTTCGATAGTTTGGTACTGTCAGGTTTTTAATGGAAGATGTTAACTTAAAGACATGCCCATATTGTACCCCTACTGCCAGCGGACTACAGACTGTGTGTGATTGAGATCGCAAGTCACTGTGTGCATTATCCCATAATCTTTGCTTTAATATCTTTTGGGCGCCTTCATAACCCAGGTAATACAGTTGGGGGGAACAGACCAATAGAGGTGGCTTTTTTAGCCATGGTTTTCTGCCATTTGCTGACAAATTCCTCATTGGTCAGGTGTTGGTACAAACCCTTCCCTAGATCAAACACTGAAATCCTGATTACTGACAATCACTCACCCTCCTGACCGCCGCTGCCAATCGCATGCCTCAGCAAAGCCACCAATCATCTGCCCACTCACCACCAGCAGCCGCCAATCGCCTGCCCAATTACTGCAGCAGCAGCCAATCGCCAGCAGGCCTTGCCACAGCCACCAATCACCGGTTACAATGTCCTGCTCGTGGCTGCCATGAGCTGCCACCAATCGGCCATCCCCCCTCTGCACTATCCTTGTGCAAGACGACCCCCAATTTTCAACATTTTTTAATAATAAAAAAACACTGTCTTATACACGGAAAAATACGGTGTTTGTTATATTTTGGAAGGTGGGCTGAGTTATCGTCAACTATATCTTCCTGTGCACCATTAGGATTGATAGGTCACTAAACCATAATGGAGAACAGGACTATGAATGGTTGCTAGTCATTATGGCTGTATCCTACAAGATGCCGCCCACTTCCAAGGGATACAGGATATATCCAACATCGGCAGTTTCTGCTGGAAAACAGGCCATGGCCCCTTGGAACATGGGTGGCACTTGCCTTTACATCTCCCAAAGTAAATATTATTCATTTTTGCCCTGAATTGTATCATCAGTTTTAATTCAAATAAAAAAGTGTGCTTTGGCTGTTGGGAACTTGGGAAACTGTGCTCTTGATTATTTTTAAGGATGGATCGTAAGCGCAGTGTAATTTCCTTTAGAGCTAGAATTTACAGTATTCATTCACTTAACGTCATTCCAAGAAGTACCACATTAAACCTCAAGCGTTAAAAGGGTTGCAGCCTGTTACTTGTACAATGAGTCTGCTCATTTGGGGATTTTGTGTGTGTGTTTGTTTTACATAGTTCTCGGTTCTGTTTATAAGCTTTGCACCAATGGCATTAAAACATCCTCAACAGTATGTAACTATAGGTCAGACTGACGTTTACCATAATCGGAAGGGACCCTGCTAGCCATATGGTGGCCAGTAGATTGCCATGTTTGGAAACACCCTGGAAATAGGCCTTTTCAGCTGCAGTGCTAACTCTCTGGAATACTCTCCCAAAATAAAGCCAGGAAGCTCTTTCTGAGGCTCCAAATGTCTTCTAAAAATCCAGTTGTTCTCCTAGGCCTATTTGGATGATTGAGGGTGCTCTCCTCCTTAGGCGCCATTTGAATTTATGGAATTGTAGCAAAGCATTTATTGCATTCTGATCTTTATTTGTATTATTTTATTTGTTTGTATTGTATTCTGATTTTTTTAAGTTTCTACAAATGGTAAGGATTGGGAGACTCTACCAAAAATGTTAAAGCAATGTATATACATTTTCTTAATAAATTATCAAATGCACGCCCCATAAGGAGGACTTTGGTGGATCAGGTCATCTAATGTACCTCTGTGTTTTGTTTTTCATTTTTCAAAATACTGAAATGGGAGAGTGGGAAGAGGAATCTCATTTATGAGGATAACTCTCATCCTCCAAAAAGTGAGCTTTGCCAACCTTGGTACTGAATTCCATAAAATGAAATAATCTTGCCCTGGCTGACGCACGTGATAGAATTTGCACTGCTAAGACAAAAGTCTTTAACGCTGCAGAGTTGTCACAGAAGAGATTTCAATAATTGCAGGTGGATCTAACTAACACTGGCAAAAAAGTAATTTTGGGAACTTACGCAGAATCAAACCAGAGGTGAATATAATAATGGAGGTTAATGTGTATCATCTGCGGAAATGTAGCCAGTCTAGAGTGATCGATTTGTTCCAGAAAATTATTAGCAAACAGTAGCAGATAACGTATACTAAACATATACAAGTTGAAGGATACTAGTTATACAAGTTAGAGGATACTATATATATATATATATATATATATATATATATATCGTCTTGTTTCTTAATAATTTATCAGCACTCAACAAAACAGCCTTGGAGACGTTAATAATCTGTTGTAGTTTTAACATCTGCTTGCAACTGGTTTATACTCTGCCACAATAGGTCCATCTGTTATAATAGTCCACGAGTGTACAGTTATTATCAGAGTACCAGTATGATCCACTATCCCCAAGATTCCCTGCCTCTAGGGGCAGCCCCTACCCTAAAACCCACAAAAACCCCAGAAGCAAGCGAATCCGTAGTGCGATGCTGACACTGAGGCTACAGTTTCTAAATATACTTGCCTAGTAAGCTTTTCAAACACATTCCAGTTTGCAGCACATTGAGAGTCGGAACAGGCAAGTGTGATGGCTGTCTTTGTACACACCTGAATTGAAGGCAAGGAAGTCCAACAGAGCTATTTTTGTTCCATCGTTTTCCCCCCCTTCTCACCTGATGTTCAGTTACATCCATCTAAAGCTGTCGAAAAAGAGAATTTTGTTATTTAAACAAAAGTACATGAATTTAAGTGGCTTGGGCTTGAATTCTGGACACCATGTCATTTGCATAGGCATACTTAATGTGATTAAGAATGACTTGCATTAGTGTTTCAGCTTTGCATATTGGAGAGTGGGGGAGATGAGAGATTTTTTACTACCACCACTTTTTGGGAGGAATGCTTCCTTTGCTGCTGGACTATGTTGGAGGGTCAAGGGCAGGGATCAGCAACCTTTTTCGGTCATGGGCCAGTCCACCATCCCTCAGACCTTGTGGGGGGCCAGACTACATTTAGGGGGGAAAAAATGAACGAATTCCTATGCCCCACAAATAACCCAGAGATGCATTTTAAATAAAAGCACACATTCTACTCATGTAAAAACACCAGGCAGGCCCCACAAATAACCCAGAGATGCATTTTAAATAGAAGGACACATTCTAGTCACGTAAAAACATGCTGATTCCTGGACCGTCCGCGGGCTGGATTGAGAAGGCGATTGGGCCGCATCTGGCCCCTGGGCCTTAGGTTGCCTACCCCTGGTCAAGGGCAATTGCTATACGAAAGTGGAAGATCACAGACAGGAGATTACATAAGGAACAATGTTGGAAGGGGTGTGTGATAATGACAAAAACCCATGTCTCCCGGCACCTCGCCATCACGTTTGACCAGGAGGCCCTGTTTCGTAACAGTGGCGTTCACCTTTTGGACATGCGCATTGATTTTTGGCTGGCCAATATGGTGGAGGGCATTAAGTGTTGGCGGTGAGCCTTTGGCTCAATTGGCGGTTAAGCATTGGGTAAGCCGCCTTGTGGGAGGTGAGATTTTTCCTTCGCCTGCCTCTCCATGTTAAGGGTTTCCCATTAAAGGGATCTGGGGGTGTGGTTCCTGTCCGAAGCCTGGGCGTGGGCTAGGGCTATGCCACGACCCCAACAGTGACCCTGGGGGTGCTCAATTGATGTACATCATAGGGATCCCCCTTCTAGTGGTTGATCCTTAAGAGACTTCCTGCAGTCAGACAGGAGTCAGGATATAGTCTTGCTTCAACCCATTGCCTAAGCCAAACCGCTCACATCTTAAACCAATAAAGTTGTGGCCTTATTTATCCCATTAGCCCAATATACTTGTGTTTGTGTATTTATTTTGGGGGGAGCTAGGGGGGCTTGGGCATCGCCATGCAAGCAGGACCTGAGTCCCCATTTGGGATTCCCAGCAACTGTTATTTAGAAACAATGGCTCCAGATCCAGATTCTGTCATACTTCATTAGACTCTGAGCTTACCCACACTTCTGCTTGTCCTGTTCTTTCAAAGCATGGATCCGAACCGTTTTCTTCTTGTCCTGTGCTTTCTAGGCTCTGGTCTGGGCAGTTTTGCCCCCACTGGTTTCCCCCAGAAAACTCGCTCTTTAGTACTAAATCGGAACAAATAGCAATCCGCAGAAAATCTGATTGCTGCTTCTTCCTATTCAGCACTAAACCATGGATTTTCTTGGGGGAAAGTGGCGAAGTGAACAGAAGTATGAATGAACCTTAACTCAAGTCCCTTTGATTTCAATGAGTCTACTCTGTGTATGAATAAGGCTGCCACCTGTTGAATTCAGTGAAGAAAGTCCCATATACGTGGATTTAGGATTGCGGCCAAAGTCTGGATCTAACTCCATATCCTTAATTATGGCTAGGGAGTCTTTTTCAGTCTAAAGGCCAGATCTAGTACTAACCCACCCTCTGTGGGCCATTTTTGACAGATGATTCTGATTTCAGCCTGCCTGTGGTTTTTCGGTAAAAGCCAGCAGCCGAGACTTGTATCCAAGATAAGCCTCTCTGCTTGCTGCCTTTTAAAGAGCAGACGGGGGCTTATCTCTGAGCGTAGCACTAGGGTTCTTAATGCTAAAAACAAAGATGAGAGATCTCTGAACTCAGCAATTAGTGCTTAGATTGAAGATACCAGATTCCTGTGCCTGGCGTCAGATAACTGACAGGTGGTGTCAGGGGTAGGTTTGATGAGGCCCTAAGCCAGGGGTCAGCAAACTTTTTCAGCAGGGGGCCGGTCCACTGTCCCTCAGACCTTGTGGGGGGCCAGTCTATATTTTTTGGGGGGAAATGAACGAATTCCTATGCGCCACAAATACCCCAGAGATGCATTTTAAATAAAAGCACACATTCTACTTATATAAAAACACCAGGCAGGCCCCACAAATAACCCAGAGATGAATTTTAAATAAAAGGACACATTCTACTCATGTAAAAACACATGCGCGGGCCGGATTTAGAAGGCGATTGGGCCGGATCTGGCCCTCAGGCCTTAGTTTGCCTACCCATGCCCTAAGCAACTCAAGGTAATGGGACCCTTTATATGTCCAGCTGTCCTTTGTCAACAACAAATTGTTGCTGTTTTTTGTGTTGAATATATGCTATATGGTCATTGATGGACCTAATAGATATCTAAAGCCATTTGCACATAACAAAATATGTATTTTATCAAAGTAATTGTTGAACTTATCTTATATTTTGGAAATGTACTTCCAGTTTTTTCCCTTTAATTTTTTTGGGGGGACCCCAAGAGAGTAGGGCCCTAAGCTATAGCTTGTTTAGCTGTAAATCTGGCATTGGGTGGTGTGGCTTGCCCCAAATGGCCGTGCAAGACAAAGTCAGATGCCTGGTTAGACCCAGGGCTGAGAGCTTCCCCTCCTGTGTCTTAAATCAAGGGTTTGAGCCCTGGAAGACCTGCTCCCTGCCTTGCAGGCCTTTTCCCACCTGGCCTGGGAGGGAGGGGTCCTGACTGACTCCAGCTACATGAGCTGAGGCTGCTGAACAGACTCTTGGCTTTTCTTTAGGGATTTTGTTGCTGTTTGTGGTCCTAAATTTTTGTATCTTTGTTTTAGGCCTTATTGTGATCCATGTGGAAATGGTTTGATTTGGTTGTGTACTTTTCAATGTTCCATTTATTTATTTTTTATGACTACTTTTGTTACGTTTGCATCTTTGTGTAATTTTTTTCCCACGTTGAAAGCCACCTTGAACATGGTTTTTAACCGTGGAAAGGCATCATACAAATAAAATTATGCTTGTACAGTGGTACCTCGGGTTACATACGCTTCAGGTTACATACGCTTCAGGTTACAGACTCCGCTAATCCAGAAATATTACCTCAGGTTAAGAACTTTGCTTCAGGATGCGAACAGAAATCGTGCTCTGGCAGCGCGGCAGCAGTGGGAGGCCCCATTAGCTAAAGTGGTGCTTCAGGTTAAGAACAGTTTCAGGTTAAGGACGGACCTCCGGAACGAATTAAGTACTTAACCTGAGCTACCACTGTATGTATGTAAACCAGTCAACCAGCAGACTTAAAAGCTGGCTTAGAGCCAATAACTTCCTTTTAAAAAGGCCACCGCCAAGGCAATACATCATTAACCAAGTAGCCCTGAAGATCTTCAAAACAGGACAAGTGTGATGCTATTCTGTTGCTCAAGAAAACTGCTTAGTTGCTTCAATCACAAACTACTGTAGTTTTCTCTCTTTCTCTTTGCTTGCTGCTTTCTGTCCCTTTTCCACCGCTAGTCCTCACTTCCTGTATGATATCTTTCCTCTCTTAAAGTGACAGACATTCACAGGAGCTATTTAGAGATGAATCTGGGCATTGCTTTTTTTGTGACTCGCTGCTGAAAATGATGGATTACTGTAATGGGAAATTTTGGTGTACAGTGGTACCTCGGGTTAAGTACTTAATTTGTTCTGGAGGTCTGTTCTGAACCTGAAACTGTTCTTAAGCTGAAGCACCACTTTAGCTAATGGGGTCTCCCTCTGCCGCTGCACTGCTGGAGCACGATTTCTGTTCTCAGCCTGAAGCAAAGTTCTTAACCTGAAGCACTATTTCTGGGTTAGCGGAGTCTGTAGCCTGAAGCCTATGTAACCCGAGGTACCACTGTACTATTCTGTGCCGAGGATCAGGGTCAACCATCATGGAGCAATGGGAGTACCCAGAGCTGGCAACAAATGCCCCTTCTCTCCCACAATCCCAATGTGATGTCCAGAATTCAGCCTAGAGGGACAAAGCAGTTCCTGGGCTACATGCAGCAAGCTAAGTCTGTATTGTGGTGCATCTGCTGCTTGGCAGATGCCATGAAAGTGGTTCATAAAAGCCCGAGTGGACAGTTATCCAGCAGATGGCATGCTGAAATCCCATGAAGCCCAGTTGAGATGAATGAAACTTTCCATCTGAGTGGGCCGTGAGATGTTTGGAGCTGTGGGGGCTCTCAACTTTGGAGGGATTCTGAAACATGTCTTTAAATACTACATGGAGTTTAGTCTGGACTATGGGAAAGGGGCTGATTTGTTGAAAAGGGTCAAAAACATTACCAAGCTGGAGTTCCCACGAGTGGAAGGTGAATATGAAGAAGAGCTGCGGAAGGGACATGGAAGGGACTTAAGGGCCTCGGATATAAGGTTACCAGGTTAATGCGTTAGATCGATGGGATAAAAACCCGGGACCAGGAGGAAGGGACGCTGGATGAAGATTGGATTGTTTCTATTTCTTTTTTTTTACTACTAGGATTGTTTTATAAAACTGATGACTGTTAGAAAAATGTTGGAACGAAATTACTTGGCTCTAGCAAAAATGTTTATTTTTTTCATCCATTATTATTATTTAATTTAATTGCATTAGCATACAGCCATAGCAAAATAAGATAATACAAAAAATGTTGGGGACAAGCAACCAAGCGAAATTCAAAGCAATATTGCTGGCGTAATGACATTTAAAACACCCTAAGACAATAATACAGAGATTTGGTTGCCAGCGCCAAAAGACTAATATGCAGATATAAATAAAGCATAAAAAGGCCCCAAAATAGGCTCAGCACATTGAGTTAAAAAGGTAATAAAAGAATTAAACAGGTCCAGGACTAGGGCACACTACCCTGTCAGAGTAGCCCTGAGTTTCAGAGCCTGCACTGTGAAGATTGCCACCCCACGTGAAATTTGGGGATTTGCGTCCACAAGAAGTGCTTTCAGACAGTCTTCCTTAGATGAAATGGAGGACGGGATCAAGAGGAGGAGCTTAGGTCTTATTGGGTCATAAATAGGGCAGTAGAAAAAGAAATGTATGAAGTCCTCTACTTCATTCATTGTGCATGGACATAGACGCTGAGTAATAGGGGTCTTAGAGTAGGTCCCCTGCAGGAAGGCCGTGGGTAAAGAATGAAAACGGGCCATTGTAAACGCTCTTCTCAAATTGGGCTCCGTCAGGTCTATCAAGTAGTTGGCAAGTGATCTTACCACTTTCACTTTAGGGAGCCACATGGAGAGGCGAGCTGAGGTGGACTGTGCCCGGTCCATGGCCTCATCTCTTATAAGAATCCAGGCCCGGATTTTATGGTGGTCCCAAGATGACAACGTGTCGAATTCTGGGAGGGAGTAGCGTACGATAATAGTCTCCATGGCCTTGGACCATTTGTTGGAGTGAGAACAAGTTAAAAAGGCTTGCCTGGCTAGTAGGGAACCTGGGGCATTGATTAATTTACAATAAAAACTAATAATTCTAATGTGGGCTCTCGCAACAATGGATGGGAGGCCCAGTTCTGTTCTTAACTGAGCAGCAACCGAGCCCTTGGGGAGACCCAGTATCTTTCGTGCAAAAGAGTTTTGTAGAATCTCCAGCCGTTGTAGTGTTTTTAAATTCCACCCCCAGATTTCAACCCCATACAGTAACATCGGGAGGACTTTGCTAATAAATGCTTTTCTGATTGGTGGAACCAACTGGCCGCCTTTTGCATAGAAGAATTTCTCCAAGGCTTTGATGGTTCTACGGGCAGCCAGGATGGTCATATTTAGGTGAGCTGACCAGCTAAGCCCATGCTGAAAAGTGATTCCCAAATACTTGAAAGCTGAGCAATATTCAATAGAGTGGCCCTCAAAGTTCCAGAATGACTTCCGAGTTTTCGTGCCAAAAGTAAGAATTTTGGTTTTGGCGAAATTGATTTTGAGGGAATTGGTATCACAATATGTCATGAGCCCTCTGAGCATGTTGTTTAAGCCCTGCTTGGTTAAAGACAGTATCACCATGTCGTCCGCATAGAGTAATATGGGGATCTTAAGCTGTTGTAGAGAGGGGGCAGATTGATTTAGGGCCTGCATAGTTGTAACGATGTCGTTGATATAGAAATTGAATAGAAAAGGGGCCAAGAGGCAACCCTGTTTGACCCCTTTATTCAGAGGGAAAGAATCAGAAAGAGCTCCCAGGGGGCCGAATTTTACTCTGGCCGATATGTCATTATGAATTTCCATAAGAAGAAGGAGGAGTCTCTTATCTATGTTGGTGTAACTAAGCTTCTGCCATAGCCTATCTCTGGGAATGGAGTCAAAAGCGGAGGTCAGGTCCACAAAAGCCGCGTGTAGTTTGCAGTTAAACCTGTTTAGGTATTTATCAATCAGGGTAAATAGAACAAGACATTGGCCAGATGTACTGTGACCTTTACGGAAGCCAGCCTGTTCCGAGTGGAATAGCTTTGTTTCTTCTGCCCACTCGATTAATTTCTCTAGCAAGAATCTAGAGTAAACCTTGTATGATATGTCTAGCAGGCTGATGGGTCGATAGTTACGCGGATCTTGTGGGTCCCCCTTTTTTATGTATTGGGATGACTATGCTCTGTTTCCAATTTGGCGGGATCTTAAGAGTGGCATTAATAGTGGTAAAGAGAGATGCAAAGATAGGGGCCCACCACATCTGGTTCAATAAGAATACCTCTGGTGGAATCATATCCTCCCCCGGGATTTATCCCTGATAACATGCTAATTAGTTGTACACATCTCTCTGGGGAGACTGGCTCCCAGGTGGGCAAGGCAGATGCAGGAAGAGTGGAAACTGCGTTTACGTCGGAATCTGGGGCGGAGTACAGCTGAGCAAAGTGAGAGTGCCAACTGGCTGCTGTGATGTTATTAACGATGAATGAGGGGGGTCTTAAACCTGCATTAATTAAATTCCAGAATTTCTTGTCATCACGGGTTTTAATGGCCACTGACAATGCCGTCCAGCGTTCTTTCGCAAAGATCAATTTCTTATGTTGGAGCAACTTCTTGTAGTAAGAACGGAATTGGGCTAACTCCCTGATTTTGCTCTGGGTGCTGTCTGATTTCATATCAGACTGAAGAGATCTAAGCCTACTTCTGCACTGTTTGCATTCTTGGTCGAACCAAGTTTGATTCTTCCAGGTTAGACTCGCACGGGAGGGTTTCGTAAGTGATGGGAGCAAGTAGGCTAGAATTTGTTGGAAACTTGAGAAATGATTCACATTCATTGTTACCAGCTGAGCTTTCAGGGCTAGGATCTCAGGGGAATTTAGGAGGACTTTTATGTCTTGCTCCAGATAGATATCCCACTTCTTACGACCGGGGGCTAGGGTCAGTGAATCCTGGAGGAGGAGTGAGCTGGGGAGCCCCAGATTACTTGGCTCTAGCAAAAATGTTTAAAATAAGATTTAAGTTTTAAGGTTTTTTATAAGATAAGATGAAAATAGATAAAGGTAATGTAATGACAGAATATTATGAAATATGGAAAGGATTTGCTGCGATAATTAATAACTGGGATACAAAAAAAGGGAGGAGGAGGAGGTCAAAGAAAGAAGGTAATGAAAGTTGAAGATTTGAGAATGTTGGTTTTATTTTTATATGTTTGTGGTGTATTTTTGTTTTTTGAATTTGTATTGTTGGATGTGGTTTGTTTTCTTTTTCTCTTTTTTGTTTCTTTTTTCTTTCTCTGCTTTGTCTTTTTTTGTAATTTTAAAAATTTTCAATAAATATCATTTAAAAAAAAGAAAGAAAGAAACTTTCCATCTGAGACCCCATTTAAAGCGGTTGAGTATTTTCGCTAGGCCACTAAATGTGGTGTAGTCATACATTTTGGGTGACATTAAATAACCCAGAAAAAAACCCCCAGTAAGTGTTTGTCCATGCTGAACCCCTCATCCCAGGGACTGCAAATCTTTCTTTAATTTCAGACAATTCCAGCAAGAGGGGGGAAGTGTTAAACACCCCCTTTCCTTTTTTTGCTTCTAATAACCATTCTCCAAGCAGTTTTTCTTGTACAAAAAAAGGGGTGTGCCAAGCTATGGGTTTTTGTTTTTTTAAAACATGTAACATGTAGTTCACACCTAGTTTGAATCTTCATTGATTTTCTTTCACTTCCTTAACTTGTGGCATCCTGTGGAAAACTGCTGACTTTTTGTTATTTTTTTTTTAAAAAGCTTTTATTCTCGTTTGTGCGTGTGTGCGTTTGTTTCAGCATCTCCTCTCTTGACTTGATAACATTTTAGTTTACTTGAAAAAAAAGTTTAGTATTTTAATAAAATAAAATAGTTGAATGCCTCTGCGGGATTCCCCTAAGCATTTTGGCTCCCCCACCCTCAAAATAGTTGAAATTTCTACTGCGAACTGAATTGCTAGATAGAAAACGCAAGTGTGTGATGACACAAGCCGCTCATTCCACTGTGGTTGAAAGTTCCATTGTGCCTCTTACTCAGACTAGATTTTCAGCTGTTGAGAGAGAGTTTTGCACGCACACAAACACACACGCACCATAATCTCAAAGTATACATCTTGCTTTGCTAAACTAACTTGGTCATAACAATAATGGTGACACATCCTTTAGTCTAGACTAAACTTCTTAAAGCTTTTTATTGTTATTTTTTAAAAGGGGGCTTACGAAACAAAGTTTCTGTGACAGCTTCCTCTTTTTCTAAATACTGTCACATACCGATAGCGACAAGGAATTACAATCTCTGTACAGGTTCTGGCTAAAATCACTTTTCACTGGGCTTGCGGCAGTGAGAAATTGGTCCAGACCCACATTCTGCATATATGTTAGTGTAAGCACACTAAATTCTCAAGTAAGCAAAAATTGCCCTCCCCTTTGTTTTGCCCGGGATGCGGGTGGCGCTGTGGGTTAAACCACAGAGCCTAGGACTTGCTGATCAGAAGGTCAGCGGTTCGAATTCCCGCGACAGGGTGAGCTCCCGTTGCTCGGACCTAGCTCCTGCAAACCTAGCAATTCGAAAGCACGTCAAAGTGCAAGTAGATAAATAGGTACCGCTCCGGCGGGAAGGTAAACGGCGTTTCCGTGCGCTGCTCTGGTTCACCAGAAGCAGCTTAGTCATGCCGGCCACATGACCCGGAAGCTGTACGCCGGCTCCCTTGGCCAGTAAAGCGAGATGAGTGCTGCAACCCCAGAGTCGGCCACGACTGGACCTAATGGTCAGGGGTACCTTTACCTTTACCTTGTTTTGCCCAAATCTATTTTTACCGAAATAGAGGAGAAAAAATAACAACAGCATTGCCTGAACTGGTGGTTTGTTTGGTTTTTGCCACTGTATATACAGAGGAGCCCATTTGGTATGTATTCAGTGGGATTTGAGTGGCACAGTTGAATGATGCTTGAGAAACAGAAGTTTGACCCTCTTTGGGGTTTGTAGAATTGCGAAGGTTTTGCAGATTCCCCTTGTAGGTTAAAGTAAACTACAGTAAAATGCCTCTATTGCCGTAGCACCTTTTATCAACGCTTCAGCAATATTATTTATCTCATTCTACCAGATATCACTGAAATACCAGACGAAGACGTGATCAGTGTGATTTCCAAAGTTGCGCTGATAAGCCTCGTCCCGCTGCTGGTGATTGCCAAAGCCGTGATCCTTATCTTTTACTGCTACCGTATCCAGAGGAGGAGGAAACTTAACAAGGTATGGGAGAAGAACGTGAAGTCCAGGAAGCATAAAGACTGCAGCGATGTTTGCGCCTTCGTGATAGACGACGACTGCTCTGACATCAGCTCCACTTGCGCCAATAACATCAACCACAATACTGAGCTCCTGCCCATTGAGCTGGACACCCTGGTGGGGAAAGGGCGCTTCGCTGAAGTCTACAAGGCAAAACTGAAACAGAACACATCGGAGCAGTTTGAAACCGTGGCGGTCAAGATCTTCTCCTACGAAGAGTACGTCTCCTGGAAGACAGAGAAAGACATCTTCTCCGACATAAACCTGAAGCACGAAAATATCCTGCAGTTCCTCACGGCTGAGGAGCGCAAGACGGATGTAGGCAAACAGTACTGGCTGATCACTGCCTTCCACGCGAGGGGGAATTTGCAGGAGTACCTTATAAAGCACATCATTAGCTGGGAGGACCTCTGGAAACTAGGCGGGTCTTTGGCCCGAGGGATCGCCCATCTTCACAGCGATCACACACCTTGCGGCCGACCCAAGACGCCCATTGTCCACAGAGACCTCAAGAGCTCCAATATCCTGGTGAAGAACGATTTGACCTGCTGCCTCTGTGACTTTGGGCTGTCGCTGCGGCTGGATCCCACCCTCTCCGTGGATGACCTGGCTAACAGTGGGCAGGTGAGCCGTACGACGGGGCAGAGGGGGGGAGCAAGGAAAGAGTCAAAGCTGGAGGATTTAAAACAGGGCTTGGCAAAATTGTCCACTACAGTTGTACCTTGGTTTTCAAACAGCTTGGGAGTCTGAACGATTGGAAACCGGAAGTGATTGTTCTGGTTTTTGAATGTTTTTTGGAACCCAAATGTCTGATGCGACTTCTGTAGCTTCCGATTGGCTTCAAGAGCTTCCTGTAGCCAATCAGAAGCTGTGATTTGGTTCCCAAACATTTTGGAAGTCGAACCGGTATGCCCCACGGTCTCTAAATAGTAACACCCTAGTGGTCCTGGGCCCTAAGGAAGTCAGATTAGCCTCAACCAGAGCCAGGGCCTTTTCAACACTGGCTCCGGCCTGGTGTAACACTCTGTCTCATGAGACCAGGGCCCTGCAGGATCTGATTTCTTTCCGCAGGGCCTGTAAGACAGAGTTGTTCCGCCAGGCCTTTGGCTTGGAATCAAATTGATCCCCTCCCCCTCTTCCTTTTTCCTTCTGTGATGGAACTCCTATTTGGGGACTTCCCTGGCTTTTTTCTGGCCCACGTAGGACCAGTCTGGAAAGTTGGCCTTGGTGAAGACTTGACGTTTTCATCCCCCAAAAAGTTTTTGATTTGAGTTCCTACTGAAAACAGGCTGCATTTTAATGTTGTATTTTAATTTTTTTTTAAAGTTGCATTTCAATCAATTGTTTTTGATTGAAGTTGTATTTCAATCAATCAATTTCTAGAACCACTGAGCACTACTTCTTAAAACCTAAATGTTTTTAGGAAGCACTGAAAAGAGTATCAATAGGCAGAGATTCCAAAGTGTTAGCTGCCCTGAGCCTGGGGAGGGTGGGGTATAAATAAAATTTAATACTAATACTAATAATAATTAATAATAACAAGGTACCACTGTACTGTGATGGCTTGAATGTGTTTGGAGGGGAGGGTTTGGACAATTAATTATTGCAAGGGATGCACATCCTCCTCCCTTGCATAGATTCATAGAGTTGGAAGGAACCCCAGGGGCCATCTAGTCCAACCCCTTGCAGCACATGATCTTTGTCAGCAAAGTCTCAGTTTTCAGGATGCAGGGATAGGTTTTGCCCTGTACCCTAATAGCGTCCACAAAATGTGACTCTTTACTCTTGTTTTCCATTTATGAATGGCTGTCAACTACTCGTGCTTACAAGACGTTGAAATACCATTGAGGGTAGTGGTTAAACCTTGCGATCGCAGGTTTTAATAATAAAAAAAAACAAGCACAGAAAGCTCAACGTGTACAGTCAAACGGGTTACTCCATCAAAAATAATTTTTTAACCATTTTGTGAATGCTGACAGGTTGGCACAGCAAGGTACATGGCTCCCGAAGTCCTGGAATCCAGAATGAACTTGGATAACGTCGAGTCCTTCAAACAAACCGACGTATATTCCATGGCTTTGGTTCTGTGGGAAATGACATCTCGCTGCAACAGCGTCGGAGGTTTGTTTCATGTGCTCCTTTGTGGAGTTGTATTCTTATGTGTTTACATGCTACTTAGCTCTAAAGGTTGTAGGAATCCTTCCCACCCCACCCCCAAAATACTATTAATTTACTTAACATGAGCCCTTCTCTTTTCTTTCAAGAAGCCTGGAGTAGTAGTGTGTGATTCACACAGGTGATCTGTCATACAGCTTCCTGGGCTAGATCTGTATTTGTATTCGAAACCATTTCTAGAACCACTGAGCACTACTTCTTAAAACCTAAATGTTTTTAGGAAGCACTGAAAAGAGTATCAATAGGCAGAGATTCCAAAGTGTGTGGTTTGTTTTTTTTTTAAAAAAGAAGATTTCTTAAAACTGCTGAACAAGTAAGCCGCCCAGCCAAATGGGTGGGGTATAAATATAATACAGTTGTACCTCGGGTTAAATACGCTTCAGGTTACATACGCTTCAGGTTACAGACTCCGCTAACCCAGAAATATTACCTTGGGTTAAGAACTTTGCTTCAGGATGAGAACAGAAATCGTGCAGTGGTGGCACGACAGCAGCAGGAGGCCCCATTAGCTAAAGTGGTGCTTCAGGTTAAGAACAGTTTCAGGTTAAGAACGGACCTCCGGAACGAATTAAGTACATAACCAGAGGTACCACTGTAATTATCATTATCATTACAGTCATACCTTGGTTTTCAAACAGCCTAGTTCTCGAACGTTTTGGCTCCCGAACGATTGAAACCCAGAAGTGACTGTTCCAGTTTGCGAACGTTCTTTGGAAGCCGAACATCCGACGCGGCTTCCGATTGGCTGCAGGAGCTTCCTGCAGCCAATCAGAACCCACAATTTGGTTTCCGAATGTTTTGGAAGTCGAACGGACTTCCAGAAGAGATTCATTTCGACTTCCAAAGTACGGCTGTATTATTATTATGAAATCAGACTGTTTCACAAGTCAATTGGTTCCAAGCCGCTGAGGGCTGTATATGCTGTTAGTCGCACTCTGAACTTGGTCCAGTTGCAAATCGGCAACCAGTACAGGTCTCTGAGCACAGGTGTTGCATGCTGACAGGGCTGGGAGGAAGGTATGTTTTTAAATTCTTCAGATGGAGACACACTTTTAGGTCTTCCAAAGGTCAGTTCTAAGTTTCTGGTTTGACCTTTGCCACTGCTGCTGCTGCTTTGTGTTTTGTTTTGTTTTTGTTTCATGAGGAAACAGAAAAGCTGGTAAGATACTTTTCATCATCATCATTATTGCTTTCCTTCCTTCGCGTTTGGGCTTACAGCATTCCACAGAATGCTCCTTTTAAGGCTGGATGTTCTGTTTGTTGAGGAAGACTCTTTCATCCTTGCTGATGACGCTTCCTGTTTCTGTTTGAGGACTCTGGAATAATGCCTAGGGAAAGAAAAGCACTCTCCCAGCAGTGCTCCACTCAGGAAGTTGCAGAGCTGCCTGAAATTAAAATAATCGGGCTTTTGTCAGGAAAGATTGGGGGGTGAAAGAAGAAGTGTGTGCGACTTTATCTAAGTCCCTTATAAATTTCCCTCCTAAAAAAAAGAGAAAAAAGTTAAAAAACATCACGTTGCAGCAAATGAGAGTGCAATACCTGTGCCAAACAGGGCAGTGCTGGGGAATTAATAATCACGGAATTGCACATTCCTGATAAAATAACCTTGCCAGCCAGCCAAAATAAGCTATTATGATGATCGATATTATACCTATACGAGAAATAAAACTAGGGCAGCTTTGCTAAATGAGATAAAGCAGCGTGGATTTCCCCGAAAAGGTGCAAAGTGCGGCCGTTCCCTGCAATCTTATGTATTTATTTTTATTACATGTATAGCTCACCCTTCCTCCCAGATATGCTCAGGGCAGCAAACCCTCAAAAAAGTTAAAATAAAGCAATTAAAAATGTAGTGGAAATGCCTGGGTAGGCAGGAATGTGTTTAAATTTCTTCTGCTCTGTAATGATGAAGGGAGGCAAGCACACTTCACCAGGGAAGGCATTTCACAAACAGGGAGCTACCACTAAGAAGCCGCTGTCATTGGTCCATGTCTATTGGTCGACAGCCACCCAGAGACACCACCAACAGAGCTTCCCCTGCCAATCACAAGACCTGAGATGGATGCTATTGGAAGACATGCTGTTTTTAGGTACTTGGGTCCCAAGCTATATAGGGCTCTCTATTCTAGTAAAGGTAAAGGTAAAGGGACCCCTGACCATTAGGTCCAGTCGCGGATGACTCTGGGGTTGCGGCGCTGGCCAAGGGAGCTGGCGTACAGCTTCCGGGTCATGTGGCCGGCATGACTAAGCCGCTTCTGGCTAACCAGAGCAGTGCACGGAAACGCCGTTTACCTTCCCGCCAGAGCGATACCTATTTATCTACTTGCACTTTGACGTGCTTTCGAACTGCTAGGTTGGCAGGAGCAGGGACCGAGCAACGGGAGCTCACCCTGTTGCGGGGATTCGAACCGCCGACCTTCTGATTGGCAAGCCCTAGGCTCTGTGGTTTAACCCACAGCGCCACCCGCATCCCTCTATTCTAGTACCAACACCTTAACTGTAATGGTAGAATAAGTAACAATATAAAATTATAACAACTGTAAGCACACAAACTGTGAAACATTTTGCACCTGCAGTAAGACAGGAAAGTATGCAGGTATAAATAGACCCACCGTTCACTTTTTTGATGGGATATACGTAGGGAACAGTTCATGTGGCAGAATCTCGGGAAATGCGTCTCTTCTAGACTATAATGTTTGTAGAAAATGTCTTTCCCTAGAAGGATGGCATAGTTAGTCATTTTTGTTGCAGCAAAAGCAACAAAGTGCCTTGTGGCTCCTTTTGTGGCACATTTATTATGGCATAAACTTTCGAGATTATAGTCCACTTCCTCTGAAGCACGAGTGTTATCCTTGAGTTACAGGAAATCGTACGCATGGCTTGAGGAAACTGGCGGGAGGGAGGGGAACGTTAACAATGAGGTCAGAGGGAAACAAAATGCCGAAAGCTACAGACAGTCATACGTACCTAATTATCTGCGGTAATTCACAAAACAGTTGTTAACACAGGCATCCTGACATTGATAAGCCAATTTTAACATAATGTGTTAAAAATCCTTTGCCTTGGTTCAGTGCACAAGAGAGAGCATTGAACCTCTTGTATTGTAATTTAAGCATGTTGCAATTTCCCTTTGAAATTCCTTTGCCCCAGGAAGGCAATGCTAAAGTCACTTACAGAGACTGTGCTTACCCATGACACCAAGCCAGAGTTTCTTCTTGGCTACAGATCATGGCTAAGGAACAGTGTTCGAAACTCCCATTGTTCTAGGCGCTTTTTGTGACAGGGAATTTCATTAGCGCCAGCAGTTTCTGAGCTCTGGGCGCAATACTGAGCCTAAGATTTTGGATTAAAACGGCAGAGTGGAAGGAAAGGGGGACCTTTTCCTGCCTCCCCACTTCCAGTTACTCTCTGAAGAGTGGAGAAGAGACTCGCTTAATAATATTAGAGGGGTGAGCAGGGGAAGGACTTAGACCATGTGAAAAACAAACATAATATTTTAGCTGCAGTTCGTTCATTTTCAGCTTTGCATTCTTCTTATAAAAAAGCGCCCCTAGACATTCCGTTGTTGTGCCCATAACCTAGGTTTAAGGTGCCGTTTAGCTCCCAGCTTTCATATTTCAGTTTCTAACACTGTTAAGGAAGAGAGACAACTTAACCAAGATCTATTGCTCAGACAACATGCAAAGCCAGTCTTGGCTTAGTTACAGGTTCGAGTTAAAAAGACTAGGGTGGAGCAAAGTATGTGTTAGCCCTTCTCCAGGAGCCAGGACATTCACATGGTCCTGGTAAGCCACCATTTAGCTTCTTGTGATGTGTGAACCAAGCCAATAGCTTCTTGTGAGGTTGAAGTGTTTCCTCATGGGATTTGGAATACAGTGGTACCTCTAGTTGCGTTCACCTCCGGTTTTGTATCCTTCAGGATACGTACATGGCAAACCCAGAGTATTTTTCTGGGTTTCGCTGTGCGCGCATGCACAAAAGCGTTAAACCACGCCACATGCATGCGCAGAAGTGGCAGGTCCGATTGCAAATTCTTCGGGATGCGGCCAGAGCTCCGGAACGGATCCCGTTCGCAACCGGAGGTACCACTTTGTTGCTATTTCTGGTGGCAGATTTGTACCCATTTATGTATTCTTGCATAGAGACGGCCTTCCTTGTCCTGTGTAGAATGCAAAAGGGCATTGCTGGCGGATGATGGCATATATCACACCGAGAAGAGGAACAGGTGACTGAAGCCCAGATGTTGCAGATTAAATTGTTAGGCCCTGAAATTTTTTTTAAAAAAGGTATAGTGTTGCCGTAGTGGACATGGGAACAGAGTTGCCATCTGAATCTGCCACAGGGGGCTGGGCCCTGTGTCCAAACCTCTGTTATGGAGGGCCTGTTGTTGCTAGTGAGTAGTTGTGTTAGGGTTTGGGGTTGTTGTTTATTTTGGCAGGGGGTGTTCTATAAGAAGGAACAAGCCCTACCATTCAAGGCCAGTGAGAGAGGGAAGCATCGTTGTCCGATGTGGGCTGTAGATCATTGATGGTTGGAGTGGTTTCAGCTGGGAGCTATAAATGGCAGCAAGGAACGTTCTATCATTTTCTCTTCTTCTTCTGTTCTTTAGTACATTATTCCTCAGTACTATTCCGCCCTTTGTTCTGCTATGGCACTTTGTTGGGTTGATATTGTAGCCTGAGGAGTGTCTGACATAAATTCTTAAGATGGGGTTCTGTCTTAAGTTCTCCGAGTTGTGAGCCTCTGTTTTAAATTCCTAAGTTGTAAGTCTCAATGGATACAGTTGTGTTTCAAGGATTGACTTATAGGCAATGGATTTTGTGGTGTGTTCTGGGTAGAAGCTGGAAGCACATAAATACACATTGTGGTCAGATGGCTTCCTGTTGTGTCCAGAAAGTGAACCTTTTGCATGGACTGGTCTAGGCTCAGGTTTACGATGGGATGAAAGTTATTGAAGTCCTGGTGGAACTGATCAAGTGTCTCTTGTCCACAAATTCAGGTGATAACAATGCCACCTTAGATGTAGGAGGCTTGTTAGGGACAGAAGCTAAGAAAGTTTTGCAATTCAGCTATGAATGTGTTGGCGTCTGTGGAGCCACGTGACTGCCCATGGCTGTGCCATTAATTTCTCCCCCAAACATGTTCTCCCCCAAGCTGATTGTTGGTGAGTACAGAGTTTGGTATCTAGACGGGCTGAAGCTCCACATCTAGCAGTAATATCCCTCATAGATTGTAGCCCATCTTTGTGTGGGATGTTGGTGTAAAGGGCCTCAAATATCCATGGTAGCTAGTATGGTGTTTTCTTGGAGATTGTCCATGAATTGGTAGTTTCTTCAGAAAATCAGTAGTATCCCATGTATAACCTGGACTTCTGGTAGCATCTGAACAGGGTCTGTCTATCCAGACACTCCCAATAGTACCCATGCCTGAAACAATAGCTGTCCAGGGCTGCCTGGTTTGTGCATTTTGAGCAGTGGGTAGATCATAGATTTGTAGAGTTGAAGGGGACCCCAAGGGTCATCTAGTCCAACCCCTTGCAATGCAGGAATCTCAACTAAAGCATCCATGACAGATGGCCGTCCAACCTCTGCTTAAAAACTTCCAAGGAAGGAGAGTCCACAACCTCCTGAGGGAGACTGTTCCACCATTGAACAACTCTTACCATCAGAAAGTTCTTCTTGATGTTTAGTTGGAATCTCCTTTCTTGTAACTTGAAGCCATTGGTTCAAGCCCTACCCTCCAGAGCAGGGGAAAACAAGTGTGTTCCCTCTTTCATGTGACAACCCTTGAGATACTTGAAGATGGTTATCATATCTCTTCTCAGTTTCCTCTTTTCCAGGCTAAACATACCCAGCTCCTTCAACCGCTCCTTATAAGGCTTGGTTTCCAGATCATTTATCATCTTGGTTGCCCTCCTCTGCACACCTTCCAGCTTGTAAACACCCTTCTTCAATTGTGGCGCCCAGAATTGGACGCAGTGTTCCAAGTGTGGCCTCATAATACAAGTGTAATCCCAATAGCATCTTGGATTCCAAATACGTTCACCCAGTTGAGCCATGCATCCTCCACTGGCCTCCATTTTGTCACCGCAGCCATTAAGCTTGCCAACCCAGGACACTTGACACTTTCCCCTGCAATGACTCAGACCCTTGCACCTGGCCTAATCCTATCCCCTTACCCTGCAAATCCGTAAACTGACCCTTGGGAGTGTTCATAAAAGGTGGGGAGGTGGATTTTTGTGGGAGAAGAAAGAAAAAGCAATGTGCTTGGTTAGTGAAGCAGTATCACTTTTTAGATGGTGCGTTAAACCCCATGCAACAAAGGGGTTCTGTATTTGGTCTGGGAATGAAATTCAGGTACATTTCTTTTCTTTGCAAAGCCTGGGAGGCGAAGTGAAGATTTTGCCGAATGCAGTTTTTGGAGTATCCCAGCCCTTCATAGCTAGTGTTGACTTTAAACAGAAAACACACATGGCGTTTAATCTGTATGCAGTCACTATAAATAGCAGTGTCGCTGAAGGTGAAGAATCAGCCTAAGAAGAAGGCCGCTCTGTTACTTGCTGGGGAGCCGAAGTGTGGGAAACGGGTATAGTTTGCTTGATGTTTTGCCGGCATATAATTTAGAAGTCATATTTAGAAACTCAGCAACTCTGCTTTGGGGAAAGTTCGAAGTGCTCCACTACCCTTTCAGCTTGGCATTTCAGTCAGCACAACAGCTGTGTACCAGATGTTACGCTTTGTGAGAAATATAATTTCCATCCAAGCATTTTGCCCTTGCAGCCGACATGGATACTGTGAGAAAGAAAAGCACGGGGAGAGTTAAGTGATCTGACAGGCCCTCTAAGAGCTGCTTATTTTCAAGTCCTTTGTTGCCAGCATATGACATCAGTCAGAATCAGCAAGGTTACCAGGGAATAATCTGGAAAATACCTTTCAAAATGGCCTCTGTTCCTTGAGCTGCTCTAAGTAATTGTGCACTGCCTGAAAGATTTGCTGGCTTGACTGAAACACTGCTTTTGGTTAAAGTGTAAATGTACAGAAAAATGGTACACAGCTGATTGCGGGAAAGAGCTCTGGAGTTTTGAGGCTCAATATTTTTGAAAAGCACTAGTTCTGCACTTCATTTTAAAAGCTTCTGGTGTTGGAGCATAAATCTGTGGTCAGTTTGTTATTGCCTGTATGAAGCATTGGGTCAGATTTCTGTGGAGAAGAGGGAGCTACCTGCCTGTATTGTCTACCATAACTTGAGATACATGTGCTTTTAATCAGGAATACGCACAACAAACCTTTGTGGAAATGACAAAATAAGAAAAAGCCAATGTATGTAAATTTTAGTTTCAACACTTAATTAAAATTATGGAGAAGACTGGAGAGGAAGCATGACCACTGTATTTCCACAATTCCAATTATATTTCTAAAACGTGATGCTTTTAAAACGAACTGTCTTCCACTAAAATAAAATTAAGCACATCAACTGCAATTCTGCCTCCGGTTAGATATGCCTTGTTGACTTCTGAATAGGCGTTACACAGAAGTAACAACCATATGCAAGGGGTGGTTGTTGTTGTTTTAACAAAGTTATTAGCTTCCTCCCTTTTGTCAGAAGTAAGCTTGGCACTTTTAAAAATGCCCTTTATTGTGCTTCGAGTCACACTTGCTTCCTTAGGCTGGCTCCAGGAAATATGGTTTGTGTCTGTTTTTTGTCTGCGCTTCAGTTCTGTCCCGCATCCTTTCATGTCAAAAATAGATAGCGGAGAATTATCTCGCCCAGCCTGCCTGATATATATGTAGGCTATCAGTGCTCAGCAGCAAATTGTGTGTTCGGTGATTGTATGGTGTCCATTGGAATATAACCCAATCTATACTTTCTCGTGCAAAGGTGCAGAAATCACAGGTGCCAGTTCTGACAGAAGCCACAGTGGGACAGTCGCTTTGTCTGAGGGCCCCTAAGTATTTTACTTCAGTTTATTGGTCGACCGGAAAGGATTTAGAAAACAAAGCAGACCCAAAATAGGTTTCTAATCTAACCAGGATATCAGTGTGGCCACGTTTTGTGGGGTGTTTTTATGTGCTACATTAGTCGTGCTTAATGCTACTGATGTGCTGTAGGTATGTTTTGTCATATTTGCTGTAGCTGTAGCTAAGGAAGGGCTGTGGCTCAGTTGTGGAGGCAGGCAGCACTTTATTCCATCTTCTTCATGTCTCCTTACCTGTTCATGTCCACGTTATTGTGTGACGCAAAAGCCACTTTTGGAAATCTAGTGGAATCTACCTGAAGTTTACGCTCATTTCCATGTTAGCGTCTCCTTAAAACATCCATTTGCAACATTGCCAGCTCAGGAAATTGCAGGAGTTTTGTGTTGACAAAATTTGAAGCGGTATATCGGAATACAGTTGTTTCCCACCATTTAACATTTAGCTCAACCTGTAATAAGTTGATTTAAAAACAAAACCCACAGTTCTGTAACACAAGAAGGTACTTGAAATGGGAGTAAGAAGTGTTAGCCACCAGTTAAACCAGCACAGTAATGTTAGTTACTTTGAATTCAGGGCTAGTAGGACTTTGCCAGTACTGTACATATTATTACTTCAGGGTTGCAGACTAGGTTGTCGTTACAGCTTAGCTACATTTATTAAACTTGCGTTATTAGTAGTATTGCTTTCCCAGCTTCCCCCAGTGCTAACTTGGGGGGTGGGGTGGGGTGGGGGAAGCAGCAGAAAAGACGGATCTCTTGGATCCAGTGCAAGAGAGTCATTCAGCTTGTGAGTAAATTCTACATACATTACAAAAAAAAGCACAACAATTCCTACATTATATGGAAATCAACTGTAATTGCTCCTCTTCAGCTGAATGTTTGAGTGGTTAACATAGTTTTTAAGTAACAGTAGATCTGATGATAGCACTTTTCCACTTGAAGTACACAACACCCTGAATAACAAAATTAAAACATGCCTGTGCACGTGCAGCTGCCACCCCAGCCCCTCTCTTTGTCCTCAATCTGTTCCACAGCTGTGGGACCCCTGCTTCTTGGCAAAAAAAATTAAAAATACCCAACTTTAGCATTTACCTGAAGTACTGCAAGACCTCCCGTTTTGGGCTGGGCCTTAGTTATATATGCAAATGGAGATAGTTGGGACTTCAATCTCTGTGAGTTTTGCCTTGGCTCGTTTGGTTTTCCGATTTTAGTTTTATTTGTTGTTTCTAATTGCCACAATCAATTCTCATCCTCCAGCAAACAGATCCCTGGCTGCTTATCTGTCATGGATGTGCCTTCCTCAAATATTGATCGACAAAACCTTTGGCTAGTCAAATTCAGTTTTGAACTGGAGGTCCATTCATTGTCCATATAGATCTCTTTTAGGTAGATATTACTAAAAGGGACGCAGATGGTGCTGTGGTCTAAACCACAGAGCCTAGGGCTTGCCAATCAGAAGGTCGGCGGTTCAAATCCCTGCGACAGGGTGAGCTCCCGTTGCTCGGTCCCTGCTCCTGCCAACCTAGCAGTTCGAAAGCACGTCAAAGTGCAAGTAGATAAATAGGTACTGCTCTGGTGGGAAGGTAAACGGTGTTTCCGTGCGCTGCTCTGGTTCGCCAGAAGTGGCTTAGTCAGGCTGGCCACATGACCTGGAAGCTGTCTGCGGACAAACGCCAGCTCCCTTGGCCAGTAAAGCGAGATGAGCGCCACAACCCCAGAGTCTTCTGCGACTGGACTTAATGGTCAGGGGTCCCTTTACCTTTACCTTACTAAAAGGTAGCTAGGCAGATCTTGGAAGTGAAAGAAATAAGACTAGAGGAAATAGAGAGCTACAATCCTGTGTTTGTGTGGTGCTGGACAGACAGCAAAGTATAAGACGTCGGCAGATTCCACTTATGTGAAGGAGAACAAAACTTGGCTCCACCAGAATCTTGGCCTTCAATCCTAAATGTCGTCTGTTTCCTTTCCTTCTCTTGACAGAGGTGAAAGACTACGAGCCGCCGTTTGGTTCTAAAGTGCGAGAGCATCCTTGTGTGGAAAGCATGAAAGATAACGTATTGAGGGACAGGGGACGGCCAGAGATTCCTAACTCATGGCTGAACCATCAGGTAAGAGAGCGGGTCCTTCTTGCCTGGCATATTGGCCTGTTTTTGGTGGCTCCAATCCAACTGACGGGTGACAGGATTGTCAGCAACAACTCTGTATCTCCTGTTGATACCCCCTCCTCCCACTTTGCATTTCCTCATTGAGCTTTACTGTCAACTACATTAGAACGCAGGGCATATTTAGGCAACCTGTGACAACCAGGGGTATCCAGTCAGTTTAGTGACTAGGTATGTCAAAATTACACTGTGAATTGATCTTTGGTATTTGCTTATTGTCTCTTAAGACTCTTGGTACTTTTTGCAAAGCTTCAAACCCCACAGGACTTTTTTGCGTGTGCTGTAGTAGCTCTTCCATATCCATGTTCTTCCTCCGCAGTTGCATTTTTGTGTAGGCACCCATTATTCATAAAATGAAATTCCAAAATGGATTTTACAGAGCGTTCCTCCTCCTCCTCCTCCTGAATGAAATTTGCTGCACTACTGATTTCAAGTTAATGTTTTTAATATTTAACTTAGCTTGAATGTCCTTAATATGAAAATTACCAAGAAAATTAATATTTTCAATATTGGCTGTGCTGTTGACATTGGTCAACATCAACCATTAAATTATGCAGTTAATGCAGAACGTTGTGAAGCTTTTTCTTCTTTTTTAAAGAAACCACATGAAAAGAGGATAGTAGATTTCATTCTAACCCGGTTCTAATGTTGCTTATCACATCACCAAGGCAAGAACCATTCTCTTTCTTGGTTTTTGCTTTTTGCTACATCTTCCCTTCCATTTAAATAAAAGGCCAGATAGCATTGCCGTTCCTATTAATGAATTAATATGTCTGAGCCAGAGGCAAGCAACTATACAAGTGCTCGTGTCATTAAGGCCAGCAGTACATCCAGTCTTAACGAGGCTGGGATTAACCCTTTGATTAGAGGATAAGGCCCCAACAGTGGGATTCTCATTCCGGAATAATTGTCTCACATATGGTGTAAGTTTAGTGCACCATAATTTCTTAAGCATCACTAAGCCTTCTTTCAGCGCAGTAGCACCAATACTGTGTGAGGAGATTCTGCATAAATGTTCACCTCTTGCGAGTTGGTTGCCTTACGTTAGCTGAGTGCTTTGACGTTCAGGTGTTTTAAAATGTGTTCACTGTTTTTGCTGCACATTTCAGGGCATCCAGAAGGTTTGCGAGACGCTTGTCGAGTGCTGGGACCACGACCCTGAGGCGCGTCTCACTGCGCAGTGCGTAGCTGAGCGGTTCAATGATTTTGAGTACCAGGACACGCTCTCCGGAAGAAGCAGTTCGGAAGAAAAGATCCCCGAAGAGAGCTCTGTGAACAGTGCCAAGTAACAGCCTGCTACAAGACAAAACTTCCACGAAACCAAAGAGAGAGAGAAAGAGAGAGGGGCTGCTCTTGTGTTCCATGTGCACAAGAGTGGAACAGGAAGAGGCGATTAGTCTCGGATGCACTTCCTGTGTCACTGAGGTTCCTGCCTCTCCCTCCATCCCGCAGCTCCAAAGAGGGCAAAGTGGCGTCCTTCGCCGTGCCATAGGAGGAACGACGCCGTTGCTTCCTGAGAACATGAGACTGAACAAAATGCCAAGAATGTTTGCACTTTATCGATGCCTGTAGATAACTATCAAAGAGCAACTTTATGTATGTATGTAGATAGAGATATAGAGGTATGTATAAAAACACACACACACTCGACAAATCTCTGCAAAGGGTCTTCCAGGAAACTTAAGTATAGATAGGAAAATCCTACCAGGAATCGTATGTAGGACGCTTGCTGTGATGCTGGCAGAAAAAGTGCCTTATTCATCCCACCGGAGCCTTAAAAACAATATTTCTGCAGTTGAAAGGGGGGGAGGAGGATTTGGACCATATTAGTGCCTCTTTTAACATGTAACTATGCAATGGTTGTTCAGCTGGTTCTTGTATGTTTATGATGCGTTGATTCAGTGGATCTTACTGGTCTGATTCTTCTCCTCCTCTTCCCCCACCCTTCTGCTTGAATTTGGAAAGTTGTCCCCACCCACTCAACTTTCATGCCTGCGCAAAAGATCATTAATTCCTCTGCCCGTCCCTTTCTTTGAACTTTGCCGTTCCCGTTAGCAGCCTGCTTTGGGGAGAGGGCAGGTTCCCCGGCCCCTCCCCAGCCTCGCTCTCTGAAATCAGGCAGGGCCCAATTATAATCGAAACAGATGTTTTGCATTTGCCGTGCCTTCTGACACAAAGTAGACTGCTCCCCTCCCTCCTTTTCTGGGATCGGTAACATCATGTCTCGTTTCTTGAGCCCTTAAGTTCACATTTGATTTCGTGCCCGGCGTAAAAGGAGGAACAGGACGTGGACTCCTTTCCCCGAGTGTCTGCGATGCCGTGGAAAAAGATTTGCCCCGCTCTGGAGACATGCAGTGCTTTCGGTCCCCCTTAACTTGCCATTGTGAGCAACCCCTGCCTGCAGTCATCCAGAACTCTGGCAAATAAGAGCACATTCCTAAACTGATCCCCACAGGCATGACTTACATTCTTTTAGTCTTCCAAAATATTTAGCTTTTGGAGCTGGCCTCACCAGGAATTTTTAAATGACGGAATTTTGACCGTCAGTATTTTCATACGAGATCATTGGAGCTGCTCAAATTGTGTGGCTCGTCGTGGTTTCGCAGTCGGCTTCAGGCACCTTCTGTGCCTTGGTGTTGTTTTCTAACAGAAATTTGCCCCAGAAACAAAAGGTATATTTCAAGTGCAATGCTTTTATCATACAGGTCACAGATACATTTCTTTTTCCTCTCTAGGAACTTTGTGTATCCAATAATAGGGAAATTGGGGGGTGGGGGAGAGAGAAGTATATTCACATAGGAATTATAAATTTATGGGGGAAAATATTTATTTTTAAAAGCTTTTTGCATCTGCTTTTATATTAATTTTTAAAGAAATATTTAAGCATTAAGTGGGGCAGGAGCTCAATAATTAAAACGGAGTCGAGGTTTAATAGCAACAGGCTATGTACTGAACTGTGGAGCTACTGGAAAGACGGGTTTATACTGGGATCATGTTCCTAAGCAGATCTGGAGTGAAGTGACCTCTAGTGGGGTTTCCCACTGAAAAACTGCTACGCTAGGAAAGGAAAAGGAGGAGCTTTGCCCCACAAACCGGAAAGTTAGGGTGCCACCTGCATTACAGATCTAAACCACTAGTTTCAGAACTGCCATAACTTTCAGGCCTTCCTCCATAACCACAACTCTGGCTTGGAGTAAGTTCCCAGAGTTCCTGAACTGAAAATGGTGGAAGCTTACTTTGAGATGGTTTCAGAAGAAGGTTAGACAAACAGAGATAAAAGGCTGTGAACAGCCTACCAGTCCTCATGGCTGTAGGCTAGTTCCCAGGTTCAGAGGCAAGCTTGTCCCAGAACGTCACTTGCTGAGACAAGGCTCAAACTGATTCAGTACTGGTTTAAATTGGCAGCGTAGACTTGCCCCTGGGTCTCCGCTGTGTGCGTTGTGCCTGATATTTATCACGCAGCAGCAAACACAAAGAGAGGGCCCAGTAGCTCCTGGCAACTCTTTTAACTTTCTTTTGTACTATTTACATGTAAAGGGATTTATTTTTCCCCCCATTCTTCCACGGAACGCTTTCACTGTATGAAAACAGGAATGTGAACGTATATAACCTTGTTTATTCGAGCGTCTCGAGCACTTACCGTATTTTTGTATAAATAAAATGTTTTAGATTAAATGAAGTTATGGTTTTGTTTTAAATGGCCCTTATCCGTTAAAAAAAACAACCTCTTGTAAGTTTCTTTTCAGAGGGGGAGTGGTCATCAGGTGGACTCGGTCATCAGATTTCTCTCCAGCAGCCCAAATGAAGAGACTAGTATCCTTTTTCTGTGTTCTGTTCATTCATACCCATGTTCTGCACATAACAGCCTCTGTGATTAAGAGGATTGGCTGGGTTAAACATCAAAACATAAAAAAAAATTGTCCAATAGCACCTTAGAGACCAACTGTCAGGGAACTGCCATCAGTGCCGGAGGGAGAGAGCAAAATCCAGAGGGATTCCGGAGAGCGTCCCGGGATTGGGAGAGGCAGCCCATCTTCTGGGGAAGAGAATCAGCGTAGCACCAGTGGAGAAGGGGGGCAGATGGGGGAAGCGGCGAGGCGGTCCCATGACTCCTTGCCGGGGACCAGCGGGGAGAGTAGAGCTCCTCCGCTGCCTACGCCCTCCTTGCGCAGAAGGCTTTCGCGCAGAGAGGGTAGGAGGAGACTAGGCGTCAAAGAGCTTCTCTGCTGGAAGAAGTTTAAGAAACGCCCACTGACGGATTCTGCCAGCGATTGAGACAGCCACAGGTGAGTGGCTGTCCGGACAGAAAAGGTTCACTCAGGCAATCCAGCCAGGTGTTTGCACCGGCTTACGCACGAGCAACCCCTAGAACCATTACACCAACTAAGTTTGTTCTCAGTATAAGCTTTCGCGTGCATGCACACTTCTTAAGATACACTGAAACAGAAGTCACCAGACCCTTTTATATAGTGGGAGGGTGGGGTGGGGTTTTTCTCAGGAGGGTAGTAGGATATGTTTGATTGACTCAATGGTTATGGTAAGCCTGTTGATGACTGATAATGACTGCAAATAGTTATTAGGTAATGACTGCAATTAGTATGATAAACAGGTTTACCATACCCATTGATCACTGCAGATGGTGACAGCAGTCACAAACTCCTGCTTCTTGGGAGAAAAGTGATGACAAACCTAGACAGCATCTTAAAAAGCAGAGACATCACCTTGCCAACAAAGGTCTGTATAGTAAAAGCTATGGTTTTCCCAGTAGTGATGTATGGAAGTGAGAGCTGAACCATAAAGAAGGCTGATTGCCGAAGAACTGATGCTTTTGAATTATGGTGCTGGAGGAGACTCTTGAGAGTCCCATGGACTGCAAGAAGATCAAACGTATCCATTCTGAAGGAAATCAGCCCTGAGTGCTCACTGGAAGGACAGATCGTGAAGCTGAGGCTCCAATACTTTGGCCACCTCATAAGAAGAGAAGACTCCCTGGAAAAGACCCTGATGTTGGGAAAGATGGAGGGCACAAGGAGAAGGGGACGACAGAGGATGAGATGGTTGGACAGTGTTCTTGAAGCTACCAGCATGAGTTTGACCAAACTGCGGGAGGCAGTAGAAGACAGGAGTGCCTGGCGTGCTCTGATCCATGGGGTCACGAAGAGTCGGACACGAATAAACAACAACAAGGTGCTATTGGACAATTTTTTATTTGTTTATATGTTTCGACTGCATCAGACCAACACGGCTACGTACCTGGGTTAAACATCGACAAGGAACGCTGAAGTTCTAAATAACTCTCACAGCTTTTTTTAATAATAAAAAAGTGCACTATGTGGTCTCGGGGCAGTAATTGTGTGTCACGTTCTGATCCCGCCATCTGCAAAATGGGAATTCTAGGTATACATTATGCATGGGGTCATTATCGGGATGAATAATTTACACATACAAGCCCCTCAGTCCTTTCATTTGGAAACCGTGGTGTCAGAGAGTCTGCTTCGGAGTCTGGTTTCAAACAATTTGCAGGGTCCCCTGTACAGGGAAGGTCGTGTAAGGTCAATAACTTTTGATGACTACCCTGATGACTACGCTTGCTCCTGGCGTGTTCTCATTTTAGGTATGGTACTTTTTCGGTGCGGGGTGTGTGTGTGTGTGTGCAGAAAAGATTTCAAGGGCAAACTCAGCCAGGAGATGGTTTGTATGAAAGCTGAATGAAAGAAGTTAATAACACTACACACAGAGAGAATTGCATTATATACTGTTTTGTTCTTCTGGATTATATAGATATAGATTATATAGATAACACAATTAGGTAAATCTAACTAATGGGGCCTAATTGATGAAAGTGTGTATTACAGCATCCCATTTTAGGAATATCAGAGAGAGAGAAAATATTAACTGGTTTCAATTTTAGATACATTCTTGATTGAAAGATGGAAAAAACCACATAATTACAAGAGCACATGGGTACTATTTCTTTTCTTTTTGTGTCTTAAACTGTGTTTGGACTCTTGATGGCTTGTCAAAACTACGAGCTAAGAAGGGTTTGAGGAAAATGTTTTTGTGGAAATCTCACCAGTCACGATTTCATCGTGTTGTTGTCAAACTGCAACTCCAAGGGTTTTTGGGAGGGAGTCGACTGTGAAAATGCTTTCAGACTCCTCCTCGGTTGTAGTGAAGTTGTGCTCCCGAGTTCTGTTGTGCCCAAGTTATTTAGGACTTGGATCATAGTACACTACAGATGTTGAAAGACTTGAGTGTAATGTAAAGGAGGGGTAGACCACACTGCTGTGCTTGCAGGAGCTACCAAGGAGATGTTAAATCAGTTCCACACTTGGGAAGTGAAAGAAAAGCAGTTTCGCTACTCTGCTAGGATCTCTTTAAAAAAAGCACATCTGTTTTGCTGTTCTCCATAAACCGCATTTGCCTCATTCCATTCGTGTTGTCGTAGTGCTTGTGTAGTCCTGCTTTAAATAATAATAATTTATAATAATAATTTATTATTTATACCCCGCCCATCTGGCTGGGCCTCCCCAGTCACTCTGGGGGGCTTCCACAGAGACTAAAAATACACTAAAATATCACACGTTAAAAACTTCCCTGAACAGGGCTGCCTTAAGATGTCTTCTGAATGTCAGGTAGTTGTTTATCGCTTTGACATCTGCTGGAAGGGCGTTCCACAGGGCGGGCGCCACTACCGAGAAGGCCCTCTGCCTGGTTCCCTGTAGCTTTGCTTCTCGCAATGAGGGAACTGCCAGAAGGCCCTCGGCGCTGGACCTCAGCGTCCGGGCAGAACGATGCGGGTGGAGATGCTCCTTCAGGTATACTGTTTTGGTGCTGCTTGCTATGGCAGCAGAGATCTTCTCTAGGGCTGCAATACGGGCATTGGTTAACCTACCCCAAGCCCAAAAGAAATGCTGAAACTTGGAGTGGCGGGACAATAAAGTTGAGGCAGCCACTGAAAAGACCTCTGCTGCCATTGAATGGCATGAAAGAGGGGAATGAATGGGTACTAGTGGGAGCTGTGAAAAGTTGGATCCATTCATGCATCAGTGTGTTGGTTTCAGCATCGGGGGGGGGGACGGGGACTGATACAGCTTTATTTGATTCAATTTTTCATGGATTCCAAAGGAATCCCTGTTCCACACAGAGGGCATTTAAAATAGTCTCTCTTTGCTTGTTTCGTTAAGATCTCGTTGGATGGCTGTAGCTCAGTGGTAGAGCATCTGTTTGCATGCAGGTTAAATACCAGGCATGTCCAGGTGGGCCTGAAATCCTTCTGAGTTAAATGTTTTATAAGATATTTATTAAAGTTTCAGCATATTACAAAAATAAGAGAAAAAAGTAAAAGAAAAGAGAAAAAAAATAAAAAATGAAAATACAAAGTAAAAACAGTTAAAAACAAATCAATCTTTCCGTATCTTATCATTCATTTGCTTGTTTCCCTGACCTCCTCACACCTCCCTTTTTTGTATTCCAGTTCAATTAGTTAGTTCAGCAATTCCTTTCCCTCTTTGATTTTATCTTAATCTTTTATCTTAGTATATTATAACTTTAGATTATCACCTGTTAACAATCCATTTTTACGTATTCCTTTATAACATTGCTGCTAAAAACCACTTAACTTCAATCCAACATCATTCTAACATTCTTTAATTTTACAGTGTTTCTGTAAATAGTTTTTAAATTTCTTCCAATCTTCTTCCACCAACTCTTCTCCCTGGTCTCGGATTCTGCCAGTCATTTCCGCCAGTTCCATATAGTCCATCACCTTCATCTGCCATTCTTCCAGGGTGGGTAGATCTTGTGTCTTCCAATACTTTGCAATAAGTCTTCTTGCTGCTGTTGTAGCATACATAAAGAAAGTTCTATCCTTCTTTAACACCAATTGGCCGACCATGCCCAGGAGAAAGGCCTCTGGTTTCTTCAGGAAGGTATATTTATATACCTTTTTCATTTCATTATAAATCATCTCCCAGAAAGCCTTAATCCTTGGGCACGTCCACCAAAGGTGAAAGAATGTACCTAAATCCTTCTGAGTTAAATGGACCAGTGGCCTGGGAGAGTATAAAGGGATTTCCTGTGTCCCTATTTGTGTTCTGCTGCTTATGTTTGAATGCTTTCATTCTTGTTTGGTTTATGCCTTGTGGCAGAAACAACGAATGAGAGTGTTGGTAACTCTCATGACACCGGTCCTGAGAGATTTGCATTGGCTCCCAGTACGTTTCCGAGCACAATTCAAAGTGTTGGTGCTGACCTTTAAAGCCCTAAACGGCCTTGGCCCAGTATACCTGAAGGAGCGTCTCCACCCCCATCGTTCTGCCCAGACACTGAGGTCCAGCTCCGAGGGCCTTCTGGTGGTTCCCTCACTGCGAGAAGCAAAGCTACAGGGAACCAGGCAGAGGGCCTTCTCAGTAGTGGTGCCCTCCCTGTGGAACGCCCTCCCTTCAGATGTGAAGGAAATAAGCAGCTATCCCATTTTTAAAAGACATCTGAAGGCAGCCCTGTTTAGGGAAGTTTTTAATATTTAATGCTGTATTGTTTTTAACACTCGATTGGAAGCAGCCCAGAGTGGCTGGGGTAACTCAGCCAGATGGGCGGGGTATAAATAATAAATTAGTAGTAGTAGTAGTAGTAGTAGTAGTAGTAGTAGTATGAAGGCATGAACTTGACGGTAAACAT